CAATTAGTGGAGAGCAAATGTGCCACACAAAAAGGCGAATTGATTTCAAAATGCGATTTATAATTATCATCACAAATAATTAAATTTTGCTTGGCCAAGTTGCAGCCAATTAAAATTCGATTTCAATTTCACAAAATTCCCACAAAATGCACAAATTTGATGGCTGCACGCATATCGATTTCAAATAATAACAGTTTACTGTTTTTTTTCGTCTGACCAGAGAATATTGATAAATAAACCCTCACCCTTACACAGTCCCCACTCTACCCCATCCCACCCAATGTCATCAACCATGCCAACCCTACCGCATTCATGGCCCATTTGGCCAATTTATTGTTTGGCTTTCGAGGCAAAAGAGATTTGCCTGTGGCAATAGTAGCCAAAAGTTCGCAACGCATCAATCGTCGATTTGGAATTGGCAGGAGGGGTTAGTGGGTGTCTGGGTGGGTGTTTGTGCTATGGGAATTCTGGTCTTTCTGTAACCCGCTGCCAAATGTGTTTAGCTATAAATGACATTTGTTATGCGTTGCCTGATTTCATTCGCGCATCGACTTTACAGCTATGAATTTATCATATATAAACATTTATCTTTCCAGTCAACTGTGACCGATTTAACGAGGGCATCCCATTCCATTTTTCCAGCTCTGTGAGTTTGCGAGTAGTTCAATTTAAATATGAGTAATTTGATGTAATCTATCAAGTGATTGATTTTTTTACGAGCTGTAGTATATGTTGCCTGAACTAATAAAGGGAAAAACATTTATTTATAATTCAGAGTTTACTACAAATCGAAACAAATCTTTTTTACCATTTGACTTTGTTGTTACAGTATACTTTGAAGATTTAAGATTGGTATAGGCTAAACTTCGTAACTTCTATATTCGTGTCCTTCGAAAATCTATTTTCAAGCGAAACAAAACTAAAAATCAAATAGAATATAATTTAAAAATCCCTTTCAATAGAAACATGTAAAAGATAAAACCAACCAGCTTCCTATAAATCATGCAATGAAAATGAATAAGATTTGGGCTTATACAAGATGCTGTGGTATGTTGCAAATCTCTCTATTCGTATGCGGATGGATTCCAATGAAATTAAAATTTATTGCTTCTGCAAAGCTGTCATAATGTTAACCCTACCTACCCCCTCCTATCTGCCTCCCCTCCTTCAGTCTGGCACGTGCGAGAGCAGAGCAGCGCTTTTTCTTTTGGCACAGTCCCATTCATTTTTGAATAATGCCGCAGTGGCAACTGGTAGTACAGCTGCCCCTTGGCTGTCCCCACCCCCCACACACTCCACACAATCATATATAAACCCCAAATCCATCCATTCATATTTATACCAAACAAAAAGCAAAAGTTTTATGCCATTTCTTGGTTGTCGACAGTTGTTTTTTTTCACAAATTTTATTGGCAGTCGGCCATCAGTGGCTGTTGGGAGTCTGCCTGAAAGGAATTCTTTTCCGTCCCACCTCCTCTTCCACCCTCTCGAAGCAACGTGACCCATTTTATAAAATTGTGTAATGTTCGTATTATTGCACAAAGCGACACAATTGCTTACAAAAGGGAGGGCTGAGCTCAGACGGGATGAGCAACTCGGAATCTTAATTCGTTAAGAAACTGATTGCTTGTCATGTTGTTTCACGATATTTGTTAATAAAACACAACGAGTTACTATCCAAGAACAGAAACTTATAAAATACTATTTCCATGCCGCTGAAAATTGAATAGATGAAGCTTAAGACACGTACTTAGAGAATCGTATAGTTCCCCATCCAAGAGTTAATTATATTGCGGTGATGTGGTAAACATTTAACAAATTGAATAAGTCCTAAATCATAGCATAGGAGCGGGGCACAAGGATGCCAACAGTCAGGCGAATAACTCAAGCTCACGACCCAAACTTGTGCGCTTCAGATAATTTGAAGTGAACACACAAAGTAATTATGAAAACCACTTGCAAATACGAAAGACTGGCAAACACACACACACACACATATATACACCGAGTACATATTTGCACATATAAGTGACTGTTTGGAGCCAGGGAGACCCAGGACAACCAGGGACCTGGCCAACCAAGTTTGCCTCGAGTCGCAGCTCGTGCGAGTCATTACCAGTTACGCTAATCAAGTTGAACGTGCGCATCACCAGCAGGAGCTGGAGCACGAGCAGCAGCCGTAGCTTTGGGGCGTGGCAGTAAGCCGGATGGTTGGCAGACCGCTACAGGGTGAAGGGAGAGATGGATAGAGAGAGAGGGACGGAGACAAGAGACAAGCATAGCATAGCCGAGTGTTTGCGACAGGAAATGACAATTCAAATTAAAGACAACGGTCCAAAAAATGCACGAGTGTTTTTGGGGGCGGCGAATGATGTGCAAATGTGGAGGAAAATTGGAGTTGCAGGACCTACCAACGTTACGTTTCGCTTTGCCACTTAACATGAAATTAATTATGAAACTTTTTGTACAAAATTTTGTTGAACGAGTTGGGAAAGCCTTCAGTCGCTGCCAGCGTCACTGCCAGCAGCAGCAGCAGCGCTGGCAGCGGAAGCCTTTGGCCTCAACGCCGTCGCCCCCGTTAGGCAAGTGCAATGCGCACAAAAAGAAAATATATTTTTATATATATTTAAAATAAGAGAAAACTTTTAATGCGCCTGGCCATGGGCATGGGAAAATTAAGTACACGCCACGTGAGCCAGAAGCCAAGCAGAGAGGGGGCAAGCGATGCGTGCGCCAGTGTGTATGTAAGTGTATGTATGTGTGTGTTTTAGAGTCCGTAAGTGTGTTTGTGGTCGCGGCAATAGCATCAGGAGCTAAGCATTGCTGTAGTTGTTGTGTTTTTCAGTCGCCTCCGGAAAGGAGCAAGAAAAAGGCAACAATACAACAGCAATAGCAACAGCAGGCAAACCCATGGTAAATCCGAGTCGTCACCCCAACTGCGTTTTGGGTGTGCTGCAATTAGATGCGGACATCGCAGCAGACAGCGCTGCTAGCAGCAGCATAAGCAGCCGCAGCACGCAGCAGTCAGCAGCAATCGGAAGCAGGCCCAAAAAAGTATGCAGCAACTTTTTTACAGTGCAAAGTTATCGTCGACGTCGGCGTCGCTGTTTGCTGACTTGTAAGTTGTTTTACTTGCAATTTTTAATTATGATTTAATGTTAAAATACGGAAATAATTTTGCGGCGACAAATTTCGTCGTCGTCGTCGCCGTTGTCGACGGGACGTCGCGTAGTCCTAACGCTTCAGCAATTTCATTTCATTTGGCAACAAAATTGCAGTAATTTCCTCCCCCCGCCAAAGATTACTCTTCTAGCCATATACAACAGGCATGTGTTACAGTGTGTTTGTGTGTGTGTGTGTATACAGTATGAAATTATGAAGATTATGCAAACAACTCATTATGCAACATTGATATGCAACAGATCAAATAAGTTGTAGACGGCAAATAGTAAAATACATTAATTAATTGGCTGCCGAATTCAGTCTATATTGACTTAATCGTAGTTTGCATGATTATTGACTTAATATGGTACTACTTATGGCAAATAGCAAATGAATCCATTAGAAATTGTATTAATCATTATAAAGTAAATACCTAAGAACCTAGAGACAAAAGCTACTATTAGTTGTTGTCATATTGTTATGACCACGCTCATAGTTTTCAACTTTCACACAATGCTAAAAATAATGATAAAGTTTAACACAATAAATATTTAATATTTCTAACACACAGTGGATGCACAGGTCGCTCATTTTCATTTTGATTACTTTTATTAGTTACTAATGAGAAGTCAAAAGAATATCTTGTTATTGCTGCATTGATTAAAATGAGTATTGGGCTTTTCTCATTGCTGGGGCTTGTCGCATACATCCTCCAATATCCTTGCACACACATACACACACACACTTGTGTGCATAAGAGACTGTTTAGTATGCAAGTTGCCTATTCATCGTAAAATTGTATTTATATGTTGTTTATTCTTTGCATAAGCAATATGGCCAATGAGAATGAATTACACCACAAGCAGCACAACACTCACACACACACACACACACACAAATGCGAGTTCATGTGTGTATATTTTATAGTTGAAGCATTTGCACAAAAAAGAATTTTTTTGTGACAACATTTTCAAGCACTTTTATTACATTTCCTCGATGAAATTTTATTGTCCTGTCATGAAAGAAAAACAAAAAAAAACAAATTGTGTGCAAATATTTGGTTGCATGGACCACAAAACAGAAGCTGAAATAAGTATAAGCATATAAAAAGCTAGAGAAAATGACAAAATATATATCACATTTGACAGGGAAATGGGAGTATGGACTTGACTTGCTGTCAACACACATTTTCCTACTGCCATTCGGATTGTTAGCTTTAAGCTAATAAAGTTTCTTATAAGGCCAGCCTAAGTCCTTTTAAGCCTATAAAGAGAGGTCCATTAGCTTTTTTGAAACGACTATTTAAATGATTTGATTTGGTGCCAATTAAAAATTGATTTTCACTTCACTTTTCACCAATTTTTTAACAACCATATTGACTTGTTTGCCTTTAACGCATTATTGTGTTTTGTGTGACGTTGAACACTCTGCATTAATATTAATTCCTTTAGCCATTTATAAAAATTAATCATATGCTACTGTTTGCGTTGTACGAGTAATTTTTTTCCATTTGAGGACAAGCTTAGTTTTGCAAAATTAATCATATTATTAAAGTGTCAGTGGAATTGAAAGCCTCAATATAAATTAAATGAAACTTTTATTTTAGCCAACAAAATTATCCGATGTTTGTCGCAAAAGTTTAACGGCGAGAAAAGGGAAAAAATTGTTTTTCGAAATTGAAGTGGATTCAGGACAAGGGTAAAACTTTTGCAAAGCTTCGATTTTTTGCTTAAATATATAATATATATATGTATATATGTATGTATATATATATGTATACACAAATATTTATATACACATATATATAAGTGTGTATATAAATGGAAGTAAATACTCACAGTGTTTGCTCTTCTCGGCGGCCACTTGGCTCTGCGGCGTTTGGGCCACAAAGGCAAAAAGCATGAGGAGCATTAGAAGCCATTTGGGAATGCCCGTTGCGGGACTGGCCGGGCATCGAGTCCGGGCCGTAATCCGGGTTGCTGTTGGTCGACTTTGTCGGATACGTGTATGTCCATGTGTTAACCTAAGGTCAACAGCGTGTGCGTCCGCTGGCGGACCGGGGCCACATGATGTTGGCATCAGCAACATTCTGCTGGCTCAATTTTCACGATTTTCACTGGTGCAGCTGGACAAAAAGTTTGTTGCTGCTGCTTCTGTTGCTGATTCTGCTGCTGTTGTTGATCTAGCGAACAATTTAGCTTTTGTTCTATCCACATTTGTCGTGGCAAACGTCATTGTTTCGCAATTAAAAGCATTCATTTATGAGTTTCCCCCTTTCATTTCCAAATGAATTGTCAGTTACTGCATTTATCATGCCTGCAAATAGAGAAAACACTCAGCAATTAGAAAATGCTTTCGACGAAATAATAAAATTTAATGGGGAACTCGCAGATGAGAAAAAAATACAATTTGGATACATATTTGTTTGTGGTTTCTAATTGTATATATCTATTATATGAAGAAAATAATAAAATCGAATGGGCATATGGGAAACCAATTCAGAACTGATTTTTTTGACTCTTATAATTATTTTCATTCAATTTTCAGCTTCGCGGGCGCTTTGGATTTAGTGCTTAAAATGTTTTCATGGAAAATATCTGGACGATGAGAATAAATAAAGATAATTAATTATAGTTAACTGAACAGTTAGACTTAACAAACCTTCAAATTCATTCAACCCGAATGTGAGTCAATATAGTATTTTAAGGGGAATATTATGCAACGATTTCGAGTATCTGACTGAACAGAAGCGACTCTTGGTGGCAACTCATAACGATCCATGGAAGCACAAGTATCACATAAATCGAGAAATCGATGCATAACATTATTCAGGCGCCAGCGGGTAACTTCAGTAATGGGCGTGGCTTGCAAGGGGATAGGAGGATGGGGAGGGGGGCGTATGCGCATTTAAAAGCGCATACCAAATGAGATATTACGTATACGCAGCGATGCACAGTTTATCATTGAAACACAGGCGCTGCTATTATTACACTCATGTGTGCGTGTGTGCGTTTCAAATAATAATGAGCCTCAACTGCACGGCTTGGTAATAAGAAACTAGAGTTGATTTTAAAGAGCCACCTCACACAGCAGCTCCCTTAAAATAATAATTTCTTAAGCAAATGCAGTGGAAGGGGAGGAGGAACAGGAGGGGAAGTTGACGTCGGTTATCGTCTGCTATGCAGTGCAGGAGAACCATGGGACAGCGGCTGGCTTTGTGCCATCAAAAGTTTATCACATTAGAAATCAACGGCAGCCCCAAGCCCAAAGCAAAGCGGGTCGGTTGCGCAGCGGTTCGGTACGCTATGGTGCGGGGTGTGGTGGGGTGTGCACCTCCTGACCAGCCGCCCAGCTACACTCATTCTATTCTTGTGCCACATAAAGGCAAAATAATAATGAGAAGCCAGAAGCAGCAGCAACAGAATCGGGAACAGAGGCAACAGCAGCAAAAAAAATGTATCACACATATTTTGTTGTGCTTTATTTGCGCAGCAGTTCCAGCAGCCTGCCTCCCCATTCTCTAGCCTCCTTTCTTTATCTCTCTCTCTCGTACTCTCCCTACCGCTCTCTCTTTCTGTCTCTGTATGGACCATTCATGGCTCGAGCTTGTCACATACACGCTCACTGTTTGTTATCCTTCGAGCGCTCCAATTTCGCATTTAATTAAATTTGATTATAGTTTTCCACATTTTCCCGCTGCACGATTCGATTATTTTTTTCCTAAGATGACCCCACTCACAAATTTGGCTTAGGGTGTAATTTTTAAAGTAATTTCATTTGGCTTACTTTCCAGACAATTACTTTGAGGATTTGTTTGTGATTTTAAAGCACTTGGCAGTCGCTTTTGAGCTTGTCCCAAGATAGGCGGCATTTTCTTGTTTATTTACAATTTCTTGGGGAGCAAGCAATGCTTGAAGGAATTAAAGAGAATTACGAACAACGTTCAATTACACAATATCTGCCCTGACAAAAGTTGGTAGAACTTTGGTAAATTTTAATAAAATTCTGTCCCTATTCAAAGCTTGATTTTCAATATTTGCTGACTTTATTAATTATGAACTTTGGTAATGTTGTGTTGGTGCTGTTGCTATAGTTGTTGCTGTTTTTGCTTTACTGATTGCTATGGCAACCAATTTGCCTAGGCTCTAGTGAACAAATCTCCAACTATGCCCTGGATTATGTTACGTTATTAATGTAGCCAGGCAAACAAAAAAATCATATTCCATTTGCTTTATTTCTCAATTTGAAAAGAGTACAGCTAGAAAAACTACATAAATAAAAAAAGAGTTGAAAAAGTTGCAAAGCTAAGCAGCAGAGGGGTGATTATATGGGTGCAGAGGTTTTCGCTTTTTCCTTTCCCCAAAAGAGCGTAAAATGTAATTGTTGTTATATCACTCTGATCTGATGTTAATGGTGGGCGTGAGCAGGGTTTGGGGTAAACGCGGCAACAGTGGCAGGCAACGGAAGCCGCATAAATTCCAAACACCGGCAGCATATCAACAAAAATGGAACAAAGGCCCAAATGCAACAACGCGTCCAAAGCGGCTTTAGCCAGGCTGAAACTAACAAAACTAACTACAGCAACAACAACAACTGACAAGTGAGTCAGTGTGTGTGTGTGTGTGTGAGTGAGTGTGCGTAAAACATGGCATACAAAATGGAAAAACACAATGGATGGGTGTACAAAGCAAACCTACAAAAAAAAATTGTAGACTACCATACAATTAATGGCCCTGTGGGGTTTCATCGGGCAATCGCTTTTGGAGTTTTATTCCTGTCTGTTATTTAAGTCTCTCTATGCATGATATACAACACACACATAGACATACATATATGTGTGCATGTATGTGTGTTGTTGGGTAGTACTTTGCTTAAATTTGACTGCCTATATTTAACCTAATTGATTTATGATGTGTTGCCAAATAGGTCAAAACAAAGTTTTATGATAAATCTGTCAGCATATATTACTTCCATTCTGCAAATGTACGAAAATTACTTATTAACCAAGATTATGGGAACAAAGTCCTTACAAAAGTCCTAAAAACCTGCTGCATTTACATTAGATTATTTGAAAGCACAATATCCTCACTATGGCCTGTATCATATATCACTCGTATATCGAGGCGAGAACCAAATGGAAAAGGAAAGCAAGCTGTGGCTCACATTACACTGAATATTCACAAATTTCCATTAAGAACGGTACATTAAATCCCACCAAAAAACAAAAAGGCCAAAGCGCGAACATAAATACTCTCGCACACACACATACACTCACACCTAAATTAACTGCTGGTCTCGTATAAACAAAAGAAATTACTTTGTATGTAACGGCAAAGTGTTTTTATGTACTATCTGTGTGTGTGTGTGTGTGTGTGTTGGCAACACTTTTATTCAACACCACCCGCATGCACCCTAAACAACTCGCCGGCGAATGCAAAGGACTCTCATGCTCGGTGTCTCTGTCTCAATTTGCACCCGACTCGCCCCTCTCCCAGCACCCTCTTCGCCTAAGCTTTGCTCTTTGGTCGGCTCCCCTCTTTTGGTTCATGTTCCGCCACCGTTTCGCTTGTCTGCCAATCAGTCTGGCCACCCGTCTTTGGCCATGTCCATTTGTCTGCTGAAATGGGGACTGCCAACAGCGTTGGCAACAACACACACACACGTACATACAGCGGCGCTACTGGCGCCATCTACACACATACATATTCATCCATACCACATGTGTGTGTTTCATTGCCGTATGAGTAATTTTTCAGGCGAGCCGTCGAAAAGCCGCATTGTTTTGGCCAGCGTTCCTTCTACACTCAGACACTCACACATTTGTTCATAGCTACTCACACACACACACACACGCACCTATGTGCATTTTACAGCAATTTTAACTGGCTTCTTCTTTATCGTCTTTCGCTTCTGGCTTTTATTCAGGTGCCGACGTCTGGCAAAGCTTTCGCGTTGCTCCATGTAATTTTTCATTTTACGTCATCGCCCTTAAATCGAGGGAAAGGGAAACAGTAGAAGTTGGGAAATACGCGGGAGAGGGGTAAAGGGAAAGGCGAACGTCTGCGATGAACACGCACATACTACACACACCCACCACGACAATAATGTAGAACAATTGTCAGGCTTTTAAATATTGATAGATGACCTCGGCAAGGTAACAATTTATGTTTTTCTTTCTTTTTTTTTAATATTTCTTTCATTTCGACGCTCAATCAAAACCAAGATTGTAAAGTGAAAAGAATGAGACTTTAGAAGCCTTGTGGCTGAGTTAATTAAGCACACTTTAGAAACATATTTTCCCTCTTATGTGCACTTAAAACCTAGTGAATAATATAAATGCAGTAATAAGAAATAGTTGGCAAACCAGAAAAAAAGGAAGAGAAAAAAGGCAAATAAAAAATGTTAACCTGAATAAGTTCTTGAATTGGTCAGACATTATATAGATATATTTAGCATTGAATCGAAGCAGTCCTTGCTTTAAGAATTTAAAATTGAATCAAAGCAGTCCTTGCTTTAAGAATTTAAAATTGAATCAAAGCAGTCCTTGCTTTAAGAATTGTATTGTGTAAGGTCGGCTGGCAGAACTGTGTATTGAACAGTGGAGAATTGTGTAAAATTTGAGCATTAATAAAACTAAAAAAAAAAAAAATAGAATCGCAAAATGCCGGAATCAATACAATTAGTTGGCGTGCTATCTGGTCATAGTGGCTGGGTCACACAAGTGGCTCCGCATCCATACGATCCGGATCTGTTGGTCTCCTCGTCGCGCGACAAGACACTCATCTTGTGGCGTCTGACCCGTGGGGGAATGAATAACTATGGCGCGATGCTGAAGCGAAATTATGGACACTCGCACTTCATTAGCGACGTGGTGCTCTCATCGGATGGCAACTTTGCGCTCTCCGGCTCCTGGGATCGCACGATTCGCATGTGGGATCTGACTGCCAGCGCCACGACGCATCGCTTCGAGGGACACTCCAAGGATGTGCTGTCGGTGGCCTTTTCGCCCGACAATCGTCAGATTGTGTCGGGCTCACGTGACCGCACCATCAAGCTGTGGAACACACTGGCAGATTGCAAGTACACCATCATGGATGACTGCCACACGGATTGGGTGTCGTGCGTGCGCTTCTCTCCCAAGCACTCCAATCCGCTGATAGTCTCCTGCGGCTGGGATCGCACTGTTAAGGTATGGGATCTAACTCATTGCAAATTGCGCAATAATCACCATGGACATACCGGATATCTGTCGACGGTTGCCGTCTCGCCAGATGGCTCGCTGTGCACGTCGGGTGGCAAGGATTCAAAGGTGCTATTCTGGGATCTGAGTGATGGACGCAATCTGTATCCGTTGGACCATCACGAAGAGGTGAATGCCATGTGCTTTTCGCCCTGCCGCTATTGGCTCTGTGTGGCCAGCGGCCCATCGATAGTCGTCTGGGATTTGGCTTCCAAGAAGTCGGCATTTGAACTCTGGCTTGAGGATGTGACGCCAACGGCCAAAGGGGATCTGCCACAATGTCTTTCGCTGGCCTGGTCAATAGATGGACAAACACTCTTTGCCGGCTACTCGGATAACAAGATACGCGTTTGGCAGGTGCTAACTGGCCAGTAACCCAACGTCAACACGAAACCCAAACTCAACTAGCTGATTTGTTTATTCTATGTTAAGGGACACACATATACAAACACAACAGAAAATATCACAAATATAAAACCCAATAATATAGTCTTAAAATAGCACAATCGGGATGTCCTTTCCATTCCATCCCACCATTAATTAGATAGGATTCGCTCAGTGTAAGAAGATTTATCTTTTATTTCATTTGGCTGCCTTGGCACATGTTGTTGCGTTGTCAATATTTGATTAACAATCCCCAATACAAACCTCGGAAACCACTTATAACGCTTATTTCCTTGAACGCCAAATGTGTCAAATCATGAGTTTCAGATTGAACGGCGATAGGATTGTGTGGTCAAAGACAGTGTTGACAAAATGGGGCGACGACATTGATGTGATGATGTTGATGTGGAAATGGCTTTGCGACTGAACGACAGGCAACTGGGTCAATCCCAAGACTCGAAAACACAGCTGCGACCAGAGGACGACGACCAAACGCAAAAGCTAAATACGTATGCAAAAAAGAGGAAAACCATGTTTTCCATTTTTATAGGGACAGACAGGCAAATCTCAAACACAAGGCGAATTGAAATGAAAGACTGTCGACAAATCCGCAACAAGAAACCGCAATCGCAATCACGTTTATTTATTTATTTTCATGTTTTGGCAGTTGGCAGTTTTCTCATTTGTGTCCAACGCAACACGAAAGCTGACAGGCGACATATGAATCAAGCATCTCTGGGCAATGGGATGGGGGACGAAGCCGCAACACTGAAAGGGTCGAGGTCATCTTAATGATTAATACGATTGCCAGCAAAGGGATACGCATGTGCGAGTAAGCATCCAAATGTGCGTATAGGCAAAGCTAACTAACTATACACTGATCTACCGGGCATCCTTGCACCTGCCGCACACACCTGAACGTGTGTGCTTGTGTGTGTGTACGTGTGTGTCTACACCTAACTGAGAGCCTACACACAATAGATATGTACATGAAAAACTCAACAAAAGTCGGTACAGTAGTCGCTCGCATATTACAACTTTTTCAAATAGAAGGTGCCTAAGAATATAATTTTTTTTTTTTAATTTTACATCTTAGTTTATTTTGGAAATTAGCTACAAAACATCTTACAATCGTATGTTTTCATTAGGAATTCAATTATTCGCGAATTTTAATCTTAAACGAAAGTATCCTAATTTTCATAGCGACCACTGTAGCCCATTACAAAGGGACTTCCATCCTGACCCTGGCTACGAAAATTACATATACATACATAAGTAAGTATGTATTCAGAAAGCATGTACAGCGTTTGACACTACTTTTACGGAGTAGTACATATGTACATGTACATACAGACACACACACACATGTCGAAACATTAATACATAAGTATGTTGCTACGTGAAGGACTTTTAAAATCGACCACTAACTACGCCTTTATACACTGCGTGCAAGCGAGATGGCAACATTAACAGCGCCTCTAAGCGTTGCTCGTAGCTCTCTCGCTCAGAGAGAGCGAGCGCAGTGTGGGCAGTGGGTGTGTGGGGTTTGTGAGGGGGAAGGTGGATAACGAGCGACGCGAGACGAGTAATCGGCTCTGCTCGTTTGCCTAGCGTAGTATACTCGCAGGCGTAAAAATGTGTAAAACTCAACTCTCTGATGAATGAGATTAACCGTTACACACACACATATACGTATACGTACACGTACACACATACATATACAAATGCCGCACTGAAAGCCCAGCAACAACCCCCTGGCACAGGCGCAGACGACAATCGGCTACAAAAAATAACAGCAACAACAACAACAACCCTCAACACCGACAAAGCACTTGCTGCTGCTGCAGGCTATTCTGTTATGGTGCGGGGTGTGTGGCACTTTTACTCGCTACTTTGCCAATTTACTTTTACTACACTGCCAGTAAAAATTTTTTATTGTGCGTGTTTTTGTTATTGTGGTTGATGCTTGCAGAACTTTAAAATCAAGACAATCAACAATAAAATTAAATATAAATACAAATTGAACAGTGCTCGAGTTTTAGTTAACGCCCGTTGCTTAATTCAGACATACTCACACTCCATAAATGTATATATGAAAATCGGCGATTTCAATTACTTCTTGCGTGGTAGCGATTAACTGTAACGTTCACTTCACATTCAAGGATCGACTTGAGCAAAGTTGTGCATCGCACCCGCATTTATTTGTGTACATTGCATTTAACATTTTCACAATTCACAGCATATATATACACACACACGCATAGAAACACAGGTACTGTTTGTGTGACGCCTTCAATGTTATTGCACGTATCCGTCTTAACGTCTCAACGCTGACACAGCGACTGCGACTCCAACTACTCGTCGCTAGCTCCAACGGCGGCTAAGTTCAGCATTGTACTGTTAATACTGTTAGGTGGGCAGCCCACTGTTGAATATATCGATTAAATGCTCTGTGCTCAGTGCGAGCGAGACGACTCGAGTCACGCGCTTCGCTTGATAGGATATTGTACTTGTGCTGCAATATTGTTAAAACAGATTTTATTTACTGCGAATTTAACACTCATTAATGTACACCATTTGCATATCAATTTAGTAACACTAACATTCACAGCCAAATGCGTTCACAAAAATCATTTTCCAACTGAGAGTTGCCCGCTGAGCACGAAAACCAACTGCGTCCTTTGGCTGCAGTTTGACAAAAGCCGGCGTTGTCGCTGTTAACCAGCCAACAACCACCACTAGCCACCAAGAGCGCCAGTCAGACGCACCCCAACATAAACTCTCAGTTGTCACTCTCTCTCTTTCTCTTTTATGTGCTTGTCTCAGTGTGCCCTTCATGCTTTGTCATTTATAATGCTTTTTTACTGTACTCGAGTTTTTGGCGCCTAATTCACAACCTTTGTGACACTACCTAACCTAACAATGTCAAATGGGTCAAACATAAAGGTATTTTGATATTTTTGGGATGTACTTGGCCATTAAAGTGCTAGTAAGGGAATCATTTGCAATACGATTTTCTTGTATTTTAAAATGCCCGTCCACTTGTGCAGCAGCCACATACACACACATACACAAACACTCACTCACTCACATTCACCCACTCAGTGTGACAGGGATTGTTCCGGGGTGGCTCTTGATGAGGTGTCGGCGTTTCTTATCACTTGGCACTTGGTGTAACTTGAAACGCTGTGCGTCTAATGTCTGGCTTGACTTTGTCCCCTGCAACAAAATCGATTTAACGCCAGTTCCCCAGTTGGCAGTTGTTTGCGCCATGTCCTGTAATTTGTCGCCTGTCGCGTCAGTCGCCAACTCTCAACTCCCTACCGGGGTGGACAGACATCTTGCTTGGGAGTCTGGCAATTTCTTAGTGCAAAATTGAATTAATAAAGAAATTACTGATTCGTTTTACATGTGCCACAACGCAAAAGCCACTACGAGACTTAATAGGAGCGAGTTTATGACTGACAATTTAATAACATCATTTATTCCCTGTAGAGTACGTTCAGTTGATTATAATAATTTGTCGGAATACAATAACGTTGATATTTATATATATAAATAAAGTTGCTTAAATATACCAAACACCATAACTAATTCTATAATACATTTATACGCCACTAATTCATATTTCTTAGTCTACCCATGAACCATAAATATAATATATATAAATATGTAATAATATTATAGAAACTTAACTCTTCACACTTAATTACGACAGTCGACCAAATGCTTCGGCTCACAGACCTGGCGATTAAGGTCAAACCATTTGCCAGGTGTACAGAAATGGGCAGTTGGACTGCCGTTCATGCAGACGTAATACTTATTACACAGCTTGCGCTGTCGCAGCGCTACCTTTTTGACGTTCCAAACTGTTTTCTAATATTGGACTTTCAACAATCGAACACTTCACTAGACTGGGAAAATTGCAATTCTTTATCTTAGTGTCAATGTAAAGACCTTTTGGACATTGCCTTAGCATTGCCCGACCATTGGCGCAGACATAAAACATGTTACATGACTTGGGGTGCTTGAGATAAGAGCCATTTGGCATGGATCTACAATCTGGAATTAAAGATCTTTCCGATGTAGAAACGGAGTCCGTGCTTACACTTGACGGAGACGAAGCATTTCTTGCATCAGAGCAGTTGACCAGGCTGGGGAAATTGCAAACCTGCTTTTTGATGTCGAAGTATAGATCTACTGGACAGTAATGTGGTATGGCACGTCCACTTGCGCATACGTAGAACTTGCCACACAACTTGGAATCCCTCAGGAAAACGCCATTTGGTAATAACTTGCATTTGGAACTCACTTCACCATCTGAGGGCACAGCATAGGGTTTTCCGATGCCCATGTCTTTCTCATTGCTCAATGTCGCTTGTGCAGATGTTGGCTTGTCCTTAGATATGACCATTTTTGTTGAGGTTATTCCTAGTGCTTTAGATTTCGAATTATCAACTATAATCGAATTTGCTTGCTGTGAAAGGATTTGAGGCTGATCGCTCAAAGCACTCGGAGATTTTGTTGTAACTTTGGGGTTTGAATTTGCATTAGACGTGGCGGATGTAGACTTTTTTATTTCTTTGTTTTCTTGTTTTGCAGCTGCACTCGCGCTTTCTGGAGATGGTTTAAGTTTAAGAGCAGATTCCAATACGCTGCCAAAGTTTGATTTTTCAACTCTATCAACGGTGTTAATTTGTTTTTCAGGCAACAGAGACGAGCTGTTTTTCGGGACAGAGCTATGTGCCTTATTATTGTTTGTGCAGTCGACCAAGCTGGGGATATTGCAAATCAACTTTTTGATGTCGAAGTACAGATCTCCTGGACAGTCATGTGGTGTGGCACTTCCATTTTCGCATACATAGAACTTGCCACACAACTTGGAATCCCTCAGGAAAACGCCATTTGGTAATAACTTGCATTTGGAACTCTCATCACCATCTGAGGGCACAACATAGGGTTCTCCGATGTCCATGTCTTTCTCATTGCTCAATGTCGCTTGTGCAGATGTTGGCTTGTCCTTAGATATGACCATTTTTGTTGAGGTTATTCCTGGTGCTTTAGATTTCAAATTATCAACTATAATCGGATTGGCTTGCTGTGACTTTGGTACTGAAAGGATTTGAGGCTGATCGCTTGAAGCACTCGGAGATTTTGTTGTAACTTTGGGGTTTGAATTTGCATGAGACGTGGCGAATGTAGACTTTTTTATTTCTTTGTTTTCTTGTTTTGCAGCTGCACTCGCGCTTTCTGGAGATGGTTTAAGTTTAAGAGAAGTTTCCAATACGCTGCCAAAGTTTGATTTTTCAACTCTATCAACGGTGTTAATTTGTTTTTCAGGCAACGGAGACGAGCTGTTTTTCGGGACAGAGCCATGTGCCTTATTATCGTTTGTGCAGTCGACCAAGCTGGGGATATTGCAAATCAACTTTTTGATGTCGAAGTACAGATCTCCTGGACAGTCATGTGGTGTGGCACTTCCATTTTCGCATACATAGAACTTGCCACACAACTTGGAATCCCTCAGGAAAACGCCATTTGGTAATAACTTGCATTTGGAACTCTCATCACCATCTGAGGGCACAACAAAGGGTTCTCCGATGTCCATGTCTTTCTCATTAGATTTCAAATTATCAACTATAATCGAATTTGCTTGCTGTGAAAGGATTTGAGGCTGATCGCTTGAAGCACTCGGAGATTTTGTTGTAACTTTGGGGTTTGAATTTGCATTAGACGTGGCGGATGTAGACTTTTTTATTTCTTTGTTTTCTTCTTTCGCAGCAGCACTCGCGCCTTCTGGAGATGGTTTAAGTTTAAGAGAAGATTCCAATACGCTGCCAAAGTTTGATTTTTCAACTCTATCAACAGTGTTAATTTGTTTTTCAGGCAACGGAGACAAACTGTTTTTCGGTACAGACCTGTGTGCCTTATTATCGTTTGTACAGTCGACCAGGCTAGGGAAATTGCAAACTAACTTTTTAACGTCAAAGTATAGAACTCCTGGACAGTAATGTGGTATGGCACGTCCATTTGCGCATACGTAGAACTTGCCACACAACTTGAAATCCCTCAGGAAAACGCCATTTGGTAATAACTTGCATTTGGAACTCACATCACCATCTGAGGGCACAGCATAGGGTTCTCCGATGTTCATGTCTTTCTCATTGCTCAATGTCGCTTGTGCAGATGTTGCTTTGTCCTTAGATATCACAATTTTTGTGGAGCTTATTCCTGGTGCTTTAGATTTCATATTATCAGCTATAATCAAATTAGCTTGCTGTGACTTTGGTATTGAAAGGATTTGAGGAATAGTGTTGATCTGATCGCTCAAAGCACTTGAAAATTTTGTTGATACTTTGGGGCTTGAATTTGCATTAGGCGTGGCAGACTTCTTAATGCCTTCGATTTTCTCAGTCAGTGCTGCACTTGGCCTTTCTGGAGATAGTTTTAATTTGAGAGAAGATTCCAATACGCTGCCAAAGTTTGATTTTTCAACTCTATCTACAGTGTTCATTTCTTTTTCGGGCAACGGAGACGAAGTTTTTTTCGGGACAGAACTATGTGCCTTATCATGATTTGTGCAGTCGACCAAGCTGGGGAAATTGCAAACTAACTTTTTGATGTCGAAGTATAGATTTCCTGGACAGTAATGTGGTATGGCACGTCCACTTGCGCATACGTAGAACTTGCCACACAGCTTGGAATCCCTCAGGAAAACGCCATTTGGTAATAACTTGCATTTGGAACTCACTCCACCATCTGAGGGTACAGCATAAGGTTCTCCGATGTCCATGTCCTTCTTATTGCTCAATGCCGCTTGTGAAGATATTGTTTTGTCCTTAGACATGATAATTTTTGTTGAGGTTATTCCAGGTGCTTTAAATTTCAAATTATCAGCTATAATCGAATTGGCTTGCTGTGACTTTGGTATTGGAAGGATTTGAGGTTTTGTGTTGATCTGATCGCTCAAAGCACTTGAAGATTTTGTTGTAAATTTGGTGCTTGAATTTGCATTAAGCGTAGCAGACTTCTTAATGTCTTCGATATTCTCATTCACTGCTGCACTCGGGTTTTCTGGAGATAGTTCAAGTTTAAGAGAAGAGTCCAATACGTTGCCAAAGTTTGTATTTTCAACTCTATCTACAGTATTAAATTCATTAGAACTTTCAGAAGACGATTCTTCTGAGCTTGAGCTGGATATTTCAGTAGAACTTTCTGTTGATGGTTCAGTTACTGATGAACAAGATGATGCCTCGGAAGGTGATTCCGCTGAACTTGAGCTGGATATTTCAGTAGAACTTTCTGTTGATGGTTCAGTTACTGACGAAGAAGATGATGCCACGGGAGGTGATTCCTCTGAGCTTGAGCTGGATATTCCAGTAGAACTATCTGTTGATGGTTCAGTTACTGACGAAGAAGATGATGCCTCGGAAGATGATCCCTCAGAGCTTGAGTTGGATATTTCAGTAGAACTTTCTGTTGATGGTTCAGTTACTGACGAAGAAGATGATGCCACGGGAGGTGATTCCTCTGAGCTTGAGCTGGATATTCCAGTAGAACTATCTGTTAATGGTTCAGTTACTGACGAAGAAGATGATGCCTCGGGAGGTGATTCCTCTGAGCTTGAACTGGATATTTCAGTAGAACTTTCTGTTGATGGTTCAGTTACTGATGAAGAAGACGATGCCTCGGAAGCTGATTCCTCTGTGCTTGAGCTGGATATTTCAGTAGAACTTTCTGTTGATGGTTCAGTTACTGACGAAGAAGATGATGTCTCGGGAGGTGATTCCTCTGAGCTTGAGCTGGATATTTCAGTAGAACTTTCTGTTGATAGTTCAGTTACTGACGAAGAAGATGATGCCTCGGAAGATGATCCCTCTGAGCTTGAGCTGGATATTTCAGTAGAACTTTCTGTTGATGGATCAGTTACTGATGAAGAAGACGATGCCTCGGAAGCTGATTCCTCTGTGCTTGAGCTGGATATTTCAGTAGAACTTTCTGTTGATGGTTCAGTTACTGACGAAGAAGATGATGTCTCGGGAGGTGATTCCTCTGAGCTTGAGCTGGATATTTCAGTAGAACTTTCTGTTGATAGTTCAGTTACTGATGAAGAAGACGATGCCTCGGAAGATGATCCCTCCGAACTTGGGTTGGATATTTCAGTAGAACTTTCTGTTGATGGTTCAGTTACTGACGAAGAAGATGATGCCTCGGAAGATGATCCCTCCGAGCTTGAGCTGGATATTCCAGTAGAACTATCTGTTGATGGTTCAGTTACTGACGAAGAAGATGATGCCTCGGAAGATGATCCCTCAGAGCTTGAGTTGGATATTTCAGTAGAACTTTCGGTTGATGGATCAGTTACTGATGAAGAAGACGATGCCTCGGAAGCTGATTCCTCTGTGCTTGAGCTGGATATTTCAGTAGAACTTTCTGTTGATGGTTCAGTTACTGACGAAGAAGATGATGCCTCGGAAGATGATTCCTCTGAGCTTGAGCTGGATATTTCACTAGAACTTTCTGTTGATGGTTCAGTTACTGACGAAGAAGATGATGCCTCGGAAGATGATTCCTCTGAGCTTGAGTTGGAGATTTCAGTAGAACTCTCTGTTGATGGATCAGTTACTGATGAAGAAGACGATGCCTCGGAAGATGGTTCCTCTGAGCTTGATCTGGATATTTCAGTAGAACTGTCTGTTGATGGTTCAGTTACTGAGGAAGAAGATGATGCCTCGGGAGGTGATCCCTCCGAGCTTGAGTTGGATATTTCAGTAGAACTTTCTGTTGATGGTTCAGTTACTGACGAAGAAGATGATGCCTCGGGAGGTGATTCCTCTGAGCTTGAGCTGGATATTTCAGTAGAACTTTCTGTTGATGGATCAGTTACTGATGAAGAAGACGATGCCTCGGAAGCTGATTCCTCTGAGCTTGAGTTGGAGATTTCAGTAGAACTCTCTGTTGATGGATCAGTTACTGATGAAGAAGACGATGCCTCGGAAGATGATTCCTCTGAGCTTGAGCTGGATATTTCAGTAGAACTTTCTGTTGATGGTTCAGTTACTGACGAAGAAGATGATGCCTCGGAAGATGATCCCTCCGAGCTTGAGTTGGATATTTCAGTAGAACTTTCTGTTGATGGTTCAGTTACTGACGAAGAAGATGATGCCTCGGAAGATGATTCCTCTGAGCTTGAGCTGGAGATTTCAGTAGAACTTTCTGTTGATGGTTCAGTTACTGACGAAGAAGATGATGCCTCGGAAGATGATTCCTCTGAGCTTGAGCTGGAGATTTCAGTAGAACTTTCTGTTGATGGTTCAGTTACTGACGAAGAAGATGATGCCTCGGGAGGTGATCCCTCCGAGCTTGAGTTGGATATTTCAGTAGAACTTTCTGTTGATGGTTCAGTTACTGAGGAAGAAGACGATGCCTCGGAAGCTGATTCCTCTGTGCTTGAGCTGGATATTTCAGTAGAACTTTCTGTTGATGGTTCAGTTACTGACGAAGAAGATGATGCCTGGGAAGATGATTCCTCTGAGCTTGAGCTGGAGATTTCAGTAGAACTTTCTGTTGATGGTTCAGTTACTGACGAAGAAGATGATGCCTGGGAAGATGATCCCTCAGAGCTTGAGCTAGATATTTCAGTAGAACTTTCTGTTGATGGTTCAGTTACTGACGGAGAAGATGATCTTTCTGAGCTGGAACTTTCAGTGGAACTATCTGGTTCGGTTACTACCGAGGAAGATGATGTCTCAGAAGAGGATGCCTCTGAAGGGGATGCACCGTCCGTGGTAGAGCTCAAGCTTCCTGTAGAACTATTGGTTGATAGTTCAATCACTGCTAAGAAATATTTTGGTTCCTCGGAGCTTGACCTGTTCAATCCTTCAGGGCTTGTGTTTATACTCGCTGTTGTACTTTTCGGTAGGGCTTCACTAATTGATGATGATGTGGACGTAGAAAATGACGAAGTTGTTGTGGATCTATTGTCTGCGTTAGGTGCACTAGTTGTGCTTCCAAGTGATGGTGGCCTTGGCACGGGAAATGGTAGTTTTGGAGAATTATTCCACAATGGGCTAAAGAAGTTGAAAAATATTGGTCTATTCATCATGATGTTCTGAGTAATTTTGAACTCATTTGGAGCCGCGCTAATTACATTTTTGGCATTGTCACCGTGCAGTTTGTCTTGTTCACAATTTTGTCCTTGTACATTAAAGTGAAATCCCTTCGCGCAAGAATTTCTTATTTTTCCAAACAATCCGAAGCACAAATAGTATGCATAAGGATCGGATGGATCGACAGCTTTATATCCAAAATTTTGTCCTTCGCATACATCCAGGGCGAATGCTTGCGGAATGGTCGACAGACCAATCCACAGGAAGATCACTAAAGAAATCCATTTTATTTTTTCTTTGTTTTTAAATTTTTATACTTCAACTTACCCAATTGCATTTTGATCGATCCAGTGAAATGCGCTGTGCGATGGCTGCACGTTTCTTTTTATACCGAACAGGTTTTCTGTGAAACAATTAACTGAAAGACTTTCCATATTTGTATGACGGACGGAGTAAGTGGTACGGTAAAGCGAGTTCCATGTTTGCCTTGTAGATATTGTTTAGTAAGAACTATCTGCTAACAACGTTATTATTTTAAACAAATTAATGTATTTGCATTTCTTCAGAATGCAGTAAGAATTCCTGTATGACACATGTTCCAACTCAGTCCTCATAACATGACAATCATCATGACATAGGTTATCTTTTATGTAAGAGTGCTAAAAGTTAATACATGAATTTGCTATGTTCCAAAATACAAAACGAAACTCCTGCGTGTTAGTTGTGTATACTTAAATCGTCTTAATGGAATTGATTTGAAGTTTAGAATATTATAGATCAAATACTTTTATTTTCTCGAATCATTTATTACTTTTCGGAAATCTGTATTCATTTTTTATAAGGTACTGTATACATCTTATAATTACTCCCTCAATTTGACCATTTCTTTCTTTATTATAAGTTTGCTAATCTAACATAATAGTCAACATACTCATATATAAAGTTTGATAATCTTGTCAAGTGCCGCTTATCATTAATCACTATGTGTTGAGGTTTTGTTGTACATTATGATAGTGTAATTGTCTCGTACTCAGCGTTACTTTCCGATTCATATTAGCGGGTGGGCACATATATGAAGTATACCCAAATATTCCCCCGCAACCCGGTCAGTACCTGGTCCACCAACCGTACCGATTAGTTGCTCAGATAAGGTGCCGAGGGCTCTACTTATCGTGTTCTTGCAATGATTACTCAAACCCACCGCACTTGCTATTGCCATTGCTATTATTTGTTGTTATCACTATTTTTAGTGGAGGCAGTGGAGCTTTTGCTAGAAAGCACAGAGCTCTGCTATATGCACACCTTTATTTCCAGCTCTTATCGTAACTTGTGTGGCTTCGAATGTACCTGGCTAAGGAAAGTTGGATTTCCTAGGTATTCGAGCCAATAAGTTCGGCAGCGGGTTCGCATTTTATCTTTTGCATTTTTATTATTTTTGATTTTTATTTTGAGTTTTTTTTTTTTAATTTTTTGCAGCACTTTTTGTTATTTTTTGGCAGCCAACGGGTCACCTGCACTTATTAAAACAAGACCGAAAACCCTGTCCTATGCGTTGTTAGCAAATAATGTAGCTGATAGCAATTTTTGGGTGTGTGAGTTGTGTCATTATCAAAAGTCAAATTTAATTCAATCGTTGACTTTTGATGTCAACTAATTTGTTATGTTACATGCTTAAGATAAGGTAATACAATAACTACGAAGTATTAAATAAATTTTGTGGCCTCTGTTGCGAACATGCAATAATAACAACAATTTTTGATCATACAACGACATACCAGAAGTATCAAGAAAACTGAAGTTTAATTTGATAAAGCAGATCAATAAAACTTAGTTGTGGAACCTGCTTATATTTAAACTGGGACTGGTACTCTTCCTCATCATCCGAATTAAAACCATGTTGACTGTCTTCTTTCTCTGCTGCTTACTTACATGCGAATTATTATGCTAAAAGTGATCGTTCTGCAATTTGTAATTTACCTGCCCAATTTAGATTTATAAATCTATATAAGCGCGAAAGCCCGAAATAAATCTCACTTTTATTTTGAATTTGTAATAGTTTCTACTTTAACTGTCTAATGCAAGATTTTTCAGTTTAACATATTATGAGAATTATCTTTAGTTGCATATCCTGTTTTCAACTTACATCATTTTACCAAAAAACGTATAGCTTAAAGAGTCTGTCGACAATAACGACAGCGCATTTGCCAACTGTAGATGGTAAAAACAAATATTGGCATAGACTAATGACCAAATTTGCATACAATGAAAAGCGATGGAATGGATTAGAGTGGTCTCGAAACTACACTACGCTGTAACGAGCGCTTTGGTTAGCTAACGAGACCATTCCAAACGCGATAACGATCGCTTAGATTCGCACATATCAAGCTGAAATCAACGCCCATCAGATTACATTGCCTTGGTTGGGGGAGGGTCACCAACAGTTGCAGTTGCAGTTTCCGCTAGCTAAGTTGTCAGTGCTTATCGTTGGGCCGAGTGATAAGCGCTTGACTGGAAAGTCACATGCTTGAGACCTGTCCGTTACAGATTAAAGTCAAATGATGGTTATAGAACTTTAACTCATTTATTACAATTAAATTTTTAAGATGAGCTCTTTATTTTGAATTGCCAAGGTACTGAATCCCTTTGGCCTGTTCACGTTGAATACGATTGCCATAGGTGCGTGAGACGTGATCCCAAGTGTCTATAAATCGATCCATGCATTGTGTAATACACCGTTGCTCGGTACCGTCCAAAGCCTTGCCCGGCTTTGAAATGCACTTATTGAAGCACTTCGAAGTCATCTTGGAGAGCATCTCCTGGACATGAGCAACAGCGATCTGCTCTCTTAATCGACTCATCACTTCCCCATTATCCAAGTTTTCATTAGCCATTGTTCTTTATGATGATATTTTTTAACAGGCAATTTTCGAATCAATGTAAAATGATTTATTATTGTTTCTGCAACTGTCAACATATGTTTACTATTGGTTTGACATAGAAATAAATGCCGTCTGTAAAAAAGTTAACATAATACGAAGTATATATTTGAAATTCGCAGGAATGTTGGCTATAGTCAAGGGAGCCTTGTCTATAGTTATGACACAAAAAATATTTGAATTGTTAAGACACTTGATAATTTACATTTATTTGTGTTAGCATAAATACAATTTGTTGGTTTATTTTACAGATTATTGTGAAAATCCTATAAAGTAAGCTAATCCTTAACATTCCTACCAAACAAATGATTAATGTTTAAGCATTTTAATTAGTTTGCTATTAGTGTATTAAATATATTAAAAGATCTTTGCTCAGTTTTGATTAGAAAAATATATATTATAAAAAGTACTCTTTTAAATTTCATTTAGGAATTTTTGATTTATTCTTATTTATTTTTGAGGTGTATGACAAAATGTCACATTGTATATAAAAATAAAAACTTGTAGTTTTATTTTTAACAGCTTTTGAAGTGATCCAGTGAATACACTTTGATCATCATCATATATATTATAGTATTTAATATTCTTTGGATCGCAACTATTTAAGAATCGTTAGAATATTTGACGCACACAAGCTGCTTTGGCAGTACGCGATATTTGGAATTTTAGTTTTAGTCAGTTAAAACTGATTGACAACTCTTTTAGGTCATAAGCCACACAACAGTGTTGCAAACACTCAGAACAGTAATTCAATTATAATCTCTAAACAGCTAAAGTCCGAAATTAAAAGTTGTGTTTGAATATCGTCTGCAAAATACGGAGACCTGCCGATAATTGGCCTTTGCCTGATATTGGGTTAACTAATTTAATCATTTTATGTTGGCCAAATTTATTGACATGATATAAGCGAGTCCGACCCACTGATTGGGCATTAATACTGTAAAAAAGACATGCTTCATTAAGGATCTACAATTTGGCCCAGGGGAAAAAAATAGTATTGCATTTTAAACCGCTTCGTCTATAACTAGGATAAGAAATGTGCACACTACAGTATCCCAAGGATTTACCTGAATAAATAGTTACGTTTCATATAAGTATGTATGTACTACCGATCAGCACGTATCACTTATATTTGGTTGATTTATGTACATATACAAAATTTCAGCTGATCTGCAAAAGTTTGTGCAATAGCTAAACAGCATTCACAGTAAGAGTAGCTATGTGTGTGTGTGTAGGTTATATACAAGTGATAGATACATTTCAGCTAAACTATATGTATATGCTAGTAAATATGTGTATAAGTATATATATATATATATATATATATATATATATGGAATGTACAATCACTTTGAGTATGTAAGTATTATTGCGTTGAACAGACAGGCACAAACATAGTATGGGTGTGTATGTGTATGTGTGTGTGAGTGTGTATATGCAGCTTAGCCAGATTGTTGGTTAATCGATGGTAGAGGACAACAATCAATTCCTAGGCACCGAACCCAAGCGATACCAGTCGCACATTTCCTGACGCAAATCATGTTTGGAGAGATCCAACTCGAAACCGCCGAGCAACTCGTTCTCCTGCAGCGTATCATGTGACCAGATAGTCACCTGCAACCTGCGCTGTCGCACAATATCCAGCGGCATGCGGTACTCCAACTGTCAATAAAGAAACAAATGTAGATTGCCGATTTGCAAATTGAGTTGTTCAATAGGTTAATGCTTACCGTCTCCATGAAGCTGGGCACACATGTTTTGCGCACCACCTTTGTCTTGCGTTTGGTTTCCTTGCTAGGATCCGGTTTCAAGTAGCACTTGACATATGTGTTCGGCTCCTGGCCGCCCTGTAGCATGGGCAATCCTTTGGCGTGGTGTATCTGCAACAAGGCCATATTAGGATCAACATTTGTAGCTATTTGCTTATAATTAACTAGCTCACCATCACAGTTAACCCGCCACGTTGGTATTGCAGTGATAGGCGGATTTGACCAATTTCATTGGAATTATCACGAGGTGGCTGACGCTTGACCTCTGCAAGAATAGTAGTTGTTAGTTTTAAATTGGTACTGCTGCTATAAGACTTACCTTTTATCTTCGGCATCTCCAACTTGGCTTCTTGTTGATCACGCAACAGTGGATGAAAGAATGTGTATACTAAATCCGAGTGGGCTATTTCCTCGGCTGCATCGAATAGTGATTTGAGGAAACGCTGTATCAACGGTAAACGCTTTTCAGCAACAGATTTGATATTGGATCGTCCCACATGAACACCAGCTGGAAGGCTGTTATTAAATATTAAACAGAAATTCATTAATTACAGATGAAGAACTACAAAATACATAAATGATTTTCAAATAAAAACAAACTCATTTGTGTATATCCAAAAAAGATTTAATTTCTGATGAATAATTAAAATATTTTTAAATTAAAAATCATTGTACATTAACTCGTTGTGTTCCATATATACTGATTAATCACTCTAGTCGATATCATATCATTTTTTGTAGCTATCAATTATTAGAACGTGTCAAGACTTAAGTTATCAATTAAAATAACTATGTTATGCGTAACGGGACCATCGGTTCCAAAATGATCTTCAGCAACACAGGACAAGCATCCCAGTCAAAAAAAAATCAGCATATATTAATTGAATAACAGTGTTTATATCAAGACGTAGGAAATGAAAGTGTACGATATAAAATGCATTTGAATATCAAATTGTTGATTGGTGAGTTTCGGTTTGTAAGAAACTGAGTTAAATCATCAAATATACAGATGATTGCTTATCAGCGACCGCGAAACGACTGCCAAAATTTTTTTTTTTGGTAACGAGTGATAGCCGCTAATGGCTGATAAATCAGCAACAGAGCCAGACACTTTTGCTTCATGGCCAAATCACGGGCCGAATCAAAGAGCAGTGGGTGAAAGAAGAGCGACGCACCATCGAATCACTATCAAACCCACCCAGAGAGATAGAGAGCGAGAGAGCAGCGAGAGAGAACGCCAAGATATTGTTGCGATAAGCAGTGAACGGCAGTTAACAAGTGGCGACGTCAGCGCTCAATCAGTTAACGAGCGTGCGGCAGTGCGGTTCGGCAAGCGCTGAGAACGTGGAGCTGGAATCCGAGAGCCAAGAGCCAAGCGCTGTGCCGTTCGATTAACGCCGACGTGGTGAACTGAACTCAACTAAACAACAACATTAAAAACAACAATAATAATAATAAAAAAAAACACAGTTCTGCACAGCAAATTCATAAAAATCGTGTGTGCAACTGTGAAATGTTGGCCAGAAGTGAATAACAGCCATGGCTCAACTAACGTATGTGGGCCAAGGTAAGTGCTTGCCACCTTTGGTGACACATCCCAGCTTATGTTGCCCTTCCCCCGCACAGGTCAGCAGACGGCCGGTGGGTCTCTGGTTGCCTCTCTGATGCTTGTGCTGTGTCTCGTCTTTGCGCTCCTTGGCATCAAGATCTGGGGTTTCAGGCGTCGACTCACCTTTACTCCCTCAGGAGGCCAACAGCAGCAGCAGCAACAGTCGCAATTAGCGTCGCCACGTTATGCAGCCTACGAGTCACAGGTGCGTATTTGATACGACAAATCACGCAACTCCCATTACTTGCCAATTAACCCGACGCAAAATTCAATGCAGGCCATTTATAAAGGTTAATAAGTACTATGTGATATCGTCGTTGATATCAACGACAACAACGACTCACGTCTGATAAGGTGAAGCCAAAACGAGGCACACCAACATACCAAATACAACAGGTGAATTCGTGCTCTTGTCAATGTGTGTGCGAGTGTGTTGTCAATAGAAATGGAGATGAGAACGTGACGAGTCGCAGAGTGTTTATCGATAAAAGTACCTTCTCACAAATCTCGGAGTTTCTGTCTTATAGTAATTGCTTTAATTGCTTTTATTTTCGATTCTTCAGTTATCGAATCTATCATTTTTTTTTTGTCTGCTGCTTAACCTATAAAATTATTCTCAAATACAATTTTTTGCACATACAATGATAATTAAATATTCTAGCTTCTTTGCTCACATTTCTAGAAGAGTAAATTATTTCAAAATGTTAACAAGTGTTAAGTGTTTCGGGGACTTACCAGCATCGGTGCTGCGCAATATCTATAATTTTATCAGTACTCAGCATTTAATTTGCAAGCTCATTCTTGAGTCAGCCTATATTTAATAAATGGCTTACATCCACTTGAAATGCAAAATATTATTTATCAGCTGATTTGTCGTGAATACAAAATCCCATCTCTAGCTAAGATATTCGTAGTTACTTCTACTCATTCTAAATTGAGTGTGCCTTTGTGTGTAATGCTTTTACCGTTAACAATGTGACGCATCCGAAACTTGTTATTGTTGTTGTGGTTATTGCAGTTTTGTTGTTGGTTGCGCGGGTGCTTTTGCCCAAACAGCTGAGAAGGCCACAGCTGTTAAAGTGCTTCATTTTTGACTGCAGAGAACGGACATTAGCAAATCAGAAGAATAATCAAAGAGTGCAATTCTTGCAGGTAACCGGCTCCGACAACGCTGTACAGGGAGTATTTCGCCAGCGGAATACCGAGGAATTCGAAAGTGCCAGCCCAACGAATTCAACAGGTAAGGCGAACATTCGCTTCTACAAATTAATATATGCACATGTGTATGTATGCATATATGTATGTATGAATGTGTGTGTATGTGTTGACTATAACGGCATTACTCAATGTGAATGGAATTGGAAGTAAATTGCTTGATTTCAAGCGATCGTTAAACATGATCAGAAACTGAAGACGATATCACGTGTTAATAGGAAACACATGGCGCAATTCGCAGAAAATGTTGTTGTATATATTTAAAAAGGCATTTGTAAATCTTAAAAGTATTCGAATTATCTTGTTCCTAAAAGACAACTCAACTTCACCTACTTGCAGCGAATAATTATCTTACGGGTAGTGTACCAAATCTACACCTGGCCACACGGGCGCCGTATGAATACAAAAAGGAGATGGCCATACCAGAAATGTCGGAAACTCCTCCTTTCCGTCCGGAGGCGCGACGTAGAAGACGTGAAGTGCATAGCGCAAGCTATGATTACTATACAGCGCCACCCACGCGCGAGCCACCAGCACCACCGATTGAAACGGAGGCAGCAGCTGCTAGTGGGGAGACCACCTCACAGCTGGACATGCCCGCTTTCAATCACTTTGCCGAGAAATATAAGCTAATCAGTGCCAAGCCCGATGAAGAGGAGGCGCCAGCGCCAAGGGTGTCGCAGCTGACCAGCAACGAGCGTGGACGATATGTGAAGTATGAGCAGGTCGATGATGTGCCCGAGCTGCTAACGCCGGATGATGAAAACGTGGGAACTGCCATTTCTGTCGCAGCTCAAGTCCATCATTCACCACATATAACTCAACCGAATAACGAACCTGCTGAAGCGGAAGGAGAAGCAGCGGCTACTTGCGCTAGTCAAATTCTTCAGCTGGAGCATACAGATTCAGCGTTCGTTGTAGAAATTATCGCTGGCACACCAGATTCAGTTGAGTTAACGGAGCCATCTTTAGAACGCAACTTGTTTGCTAATCTGGAGATTCCTCAGCATGTGGACGATGCTGAATTCGAGCGTATTCGTTCCACCTACGAAATGAACGAGGCGGACATCTTGGACATGCCGCCGGATTTTGCTGGACTGCAGGTAGATTTAACAGAGCCCAGCAGTCCGCCCGGCTTCGGTAAGAGCATTGACGATGACTGGGAGAACTTTGAGAATCTAGAAAATGTGTCAAACGTGCCGGACATCAATTGGCTAGAGCATCCTGAACAACTGGAGTTACCACAGCAAGAGATCGCTACAAGTTTGGAGCGGGAAAATGTGGTGCAGCCAGAGACGCTCTTCCAGCAACTGGAGCTAATGGAGCCATCAGCCGATGATGTGGAACGACAACCAGTTGCCGATTATGCTCAACCACCTCCATATGAAATGGAACCAGCCATTCAACCTATCCTGCCCGACTATGATGCACTCATGCAGCTGGAGAAGTCGCACCAAAACACTAATCTGCCCAACTACGCTGATGCTGTGAGCCAAAGGAAAGGCAACGATGCCAAATACGTTAGCAGCATAGAAGATCTATTCGCGGAACTGCAAGTGAATGGAGAAGCACCCATTGGCAACTGCACACCACATACTGACGGGGAGGTGCACAATTTCGACGAGCTCTGTGAGGAGCTGGAGATTGTCGCCTCTCCGATTCCAGCGCGGCGGCCACCACAGCCAGCGCCACGAGTGTCCAAGCCAACGACTCTCAGTGTCCGCGGCGATGCTGCACCACTGACCTGCTACGCGCCTGAAGAGTTGCCCAGCTCTAGTTCGAGTGATATGGAAGAAGTGGAGGAAGCACCTCCGCCAGCACCACAGCCAGCCAAGCGCACGGGACGCACTTTGAAGGTGCGTTTCGATGTGGATAACTTGCAATACTATCAATCCGCCGAGGTGCCCAGCTCTAGTGAGTCTGAAGTTGAGTATACATCTGAGTCGCAGTTGCCGGCGAGAACCACACAACGCTTGATTCCATTGCTACCTGATGAGCCATCATCAAATGCTGAGCATGATGTGCCCATGCTCTTTGGCAATCGGGTCTCACTGGAAGACAGCGATGACGAAACATTTGGACGCGCCATACGTGAACATCGCTCCATGACAGAGGCACTGCGACCAGTTGCGCGAATGGAACGCTCTCCACAGAGCGACAGAATCACCGAGGCTTAGGACAATAACAATATACCAAAATGCTGCTCTTCATTTCCTTAGCAAAGACAGTATTTTTCATGTAAATAAGTCGATATACATAAATACATATACATATATCTATAAAGTAGAAGTTGCCATATAATGTTGACTATGTTTAAATAAAGTGATCGTAAATATAACAAAACGAATTTAGTGAATGCAAAAATAGAAAACAGTTTTCAAAACTGGAATTGAAAAAAATTTATGAAAGGACTAGATATATATTGTATATATGAAAAGTCCGATACAGACCCTAAACATTACAAAATATTAATCAACACACGGAAGATGGATTGAAAGGAAGTTACTCCAAAGTTCAAATTATGCTAAAAATCATTAAGCTTCGGATTGATCCCGATTACTTACCTGTTCAGCTTGACCAGAGGAAAGTGTATGCACAACTTCTGATGGAACTCGGTGAACTCGCGGTACGAGCGAAACAGATGCGTTGGATCCCGCTGTCCATGTCGCGTCACTTGCAGAATGTACATATAATACTTTTCCATGCTGTAGTGCTTCTGGAAGCGCACCACTTTAACGATTTTCAGCCGTCCATCCTGCGCCATGCTGTGATCGAGTAAACGTTTTCATAAATACCATTTAGGGATGATTTTCGCTCTGTTCCACTACTTACGTGTATTTGCGAGGTACAAAGGATAGAAGTTCGCTGGTACCTTCATCATTGTTGAATCGCATCTGGGCCAAATTGTGCAGGAAGAAATTGAATTGGGTGAACCAACTCTTCAGCGACAACTGTATCATTTTGGCGAATGTGGCCGCCGCCTCGGGATTCGATTGTGCTGGCAGCAGAGCACGACGCACATAGGTGACGGCATTCGAGTTCACACCCGGCATGCCGGCGGTGGCCATGTGCGCCAGCGTGTGTAGCAGCAGGTCTGCATTTTTGCGTACAATGTTGAAGGCACGACAGCAGAGGTCAACAAAGTAGTGAAAATCAGTGGATGGCTTATCACCGCCATTAATCACATATGCCATGTCCGAGGTTAGCACAAACGGTGTGCGATCTCTGCAAGGAAATCGACATGTTAAGCGTTGCTTGTGAGTAGTTGCTAGCTCTCACCTTTTGATATTGCCAAACATTTGTGCATCGCCTAGAAATTTGCCAAAATCGATGTGAAACAAGTGTCCAGAGGTCTTAAGCATAATGTTGTCGTTGTGTCGATCACAGATGCCCAACACATAGGTAGCCACACTATAGCCAGCGCAAGAGAGTGTAAAATTGCGCACAGCTTTCTGATATTCCAGCGGACTCGGATTCTGTTTGCCCAGCCACTCAGCGATGGGTCGATCCTTGAATGAGCCGGTCAGACCGCATTCCACTTGGATTTTGCGCAACGTTTCGGCCTCGGAGACAAGCTCAATCATGCCGCTCTTGTAACCAGTGGGCACACAATTAAAGGTTACCATCTTGAGGTCCAAGCGCTCGGCCAGCCACATTTTGTTCATGATGCGTATCAGTTGAATTGTCAACATGTCCTGTTGCAAGTCATCACCACACTGCAAAAGTGATTATTATTAAACTTCAGACACACGTTGTAAAAAGAGTAGCTTGGCTTACCTTGAATATTGCCGGCAGCGGCTCGGCGTCGGGTCCCACGAAGGTTATCTTCAGTGGCAGAGTGTTGGAGTTGAAGTAGCTGCAGTTACGCACATTGACACCGGACACCTCCAGCTCTGGGCCCAGCGGCAGACAAGTAGGCTCCACCTGCAAATCCATATGCACCATATCCATGCCCGCAGCTAGACTCTTTTGTCGCATTGACTCTTTGGCTTCCTTCACAGACTCGGCTATCTTGGCCAGATTCTACGATACAGTTGGGAAACATTGAGATATATAGTTTAAGTACTTTTAGCATTCATTTACTTACCTGGCACATGCGACGCTGGTACATGAATCGCTTGAAGAGTTTCTCGCCACACACAGCCATTAGAGCGCGCAGCATCATCTTGTTGCGGCGATAGTAACGTGCCTGTGTTATTTGTGATTCATCGTAATCCTGATCTACCAGCGAGGCGCCAATCGAATTGAGCGGATCATCGGGCAGACTGTGCACCAGCAGCCAGTACATGTGATGAGCAAAGCGCGGTGACTCCAAGCACTTCGACAGCAGAAATCTTGACAGAGCGGATGCCTCATACGTGTCGTGCTTCAAAGATTGCACCAGCTGCGGCAAAAAGTCCACCAACTGATCGTTAGGCATGGACGATATCCATTCCACTGCTTTTTCGCGCACCTTAGCATCTGGGTACCGTGGCAGCAAGAGCTCCAGTGCCTGAAGCGGCGACAACGGTGCCCAGGAGTGCAGCAACGAGTGCAGATCAATCAGATTGGCATAGTCCCAACTGTGGGCTGCATGCAATACCTTGGGCAGCGCATTGGGATACTGCTGCAGATAGAGACGTTTCTCCCAGAACACTTCACGGCGCTCCGTGGCGCCAGAATAGCCCAGCTCGGCCGTATCCAGGAGCTCCTCTTGCAGATTGGCGTCCAGTGAAGCAAAATCGTAGCTATAGATTTGTGTTTAATTTGAGTAAATAAATCAATCGAAATAATTGGTGGCAGAGAACTTACTGCGGTGCAGGCTTGGGCGTCTCCTGATGCTCGGGAAACTCAATGCGACCGCCATATGGCGGTACTTCAATGCTCAGCACCGGACAAAAGTCGGGATGAGGATGACAACCGCGCGCCGGAGCTGGTCCCAGCATTTTATCTGTGGTCTGCGGCCACACGGACAGCAAATACGGGCCACATATCATGGTGCGCTTAAAGTCAAACAGCTGTATGGAGCACCAGCCCAGCTCGGTAGTCACATGCCTCCGCTCGCCATTCGGTTCCGCACTCGTCTCGTTCTCGCTGGCCGCCTGCTTGCCGTATAGCACAAATGTGAGACGCGCCTCACGCGGTAGCGTGCAGATTGGGTGTTGATCGAAGGTTAGCCAAGCACTGAAGTTCAAACGGGGAAAGAGGCCGCCGCTCGTATCACTGGAGCAGCTTAGCACATTGGGCTTGGACAACAGGCGCGTGCCATAAACGAGTTGCACACAGAGCGAGTAATCCTCAAATTTCCAGTTGAGCAGTGGCCTGTGCAGGCAATTGATGCTCACCACAATCGGCTTAGATACGCACGAAATGGGTATCGGTGCTGGGAAAGAGTTGTATAATTAGATAATATGCTCATAATTTCATTAACAAATCAGCTTACTTGTGGCGAAATCTGGCGTCTTCACCGAGAAGGCAACGCGAAATACATTGGCATAGAGTTCGATTAGCTCCTGGACCGCATCACGCAACCGATTGCATTTCAATTTGATTTGCTCCAGCATGGAACGCGGTCGCAGTGTCACTTGCGCATACTCCCCATATTCGCTGACAATTTCTGGATTGTTGGCGCCGCCCAAAGGTGCGTACTTCGTCTGAGCCTCTTCACAAACGCTCTTTAGCTCGGCAATGCATCCCACTATCTCCAGCGTATCGATGGAGCCGAGCAGCGCACAAATCGCCTTGACGGCTTGCACAACGCCAGAGCAACTGACGACGCTGCGACCCGCTGGCGCACCATCCACCGCCGATTCGAGCTTATCGATTTCCATTTCGAGAGTCTCAATGAGTATCATCATGTTGTCGTAGGTCACAGTGGGTACCACCTCATTGGGCAACACATTCTCCGGCTGCATATCAGTGTCTAGTTCATCATCCTGCGCCGTCCGCGCAATTGCCTGCATATTGGCTGCGCTGCGTATGCACAAGCCCAAATGCACATCCTTCTCCAGCTGCAAGCTGTTGTGCACGCACTCCAACTGACTCAGCTTCGATGTGGGTGCCAGCCACTCCAGCAGGCCAATGGGCTGTTTAATAGAGATGGTACTTAACATTATAAATTGACCCGAAGCTAATTTCTTTAGATATACCTTGACCACATAATCCGTCACTGTGCCCTTAACCTGTCCTTCGAGCGAGGCCAGCGCCTGTGCCACCACCTGAGCCACCACAGAATCAACTGCAAGTAAGTAAATTATTTGATTTATTCAATTTATCGAGTATAGGATAATGCCACTTACTGTCGCAAGTGAAGGTGACTGGGCTGCCGTAGCCTTTAACCAGCTCCCCAGTCTGCGAATTGGAGGCAGCGTGTGGCTGCAGCGTATTTATAGCAGGATGCACAATGATCTTGATACTGGTGTTCATCAAATAGTGATAGTTAAACTCGGCAGCTATCACATGACCCACATTCGTCTCCGTATCGTCATTTGGATAGCAGGCGCGCACCTGACGCACCATATGATAGAATTCCAAGAGCTCGGCATCATCCGTGGGCTGATCACTAATTAGTTCGTAGAGGCGTGTGCATGTTTTCCGGCGATCGAGTACCACATTAGCCGGTATGCTATTCGTGTAGCTGTCCGTGAATGGCGCCAACTGTTGCGGTTTGGATGTGGTCACACTAGCTGTGCCCGTCTCATAAAGCTGCTGATTGCGTGGCGGCAATGGGGGTGGTGGCGATACAGAACCAGATGTGGAGGCACCTCCAGATGCTGCCACAACTGCTGCTGTTGGTGCTGATGTGGGCGATGCAGAGTGCGAACGATGAGATGGCTGAGCGAAGTAATCTTGTCGCCAGCCAATGGAACCGACGCTAACGCTTCCACTATTAGCCATATTATTGTCCCACCTGTTGACCGCCTCGTACATGGGATCCGAGTACTGTGTGCCATTGTCGCCGCCATACAGAAAATCAAACGGATCATATTCCGCATAGTAGGAGGTGCTATCGGAAGCGCCATCGTTACCTGTAAGTAACGAGTGCATTGTCAATCAGCGAGTTAAACCAAAACACAATCGATCGCACGATGACTATTATGCAAATGCCGCACGTTCGAACGGATCGAGTCGATCCGAGCGTGTGGCCAAAAATAAAGTCGTCGCCGCCCTCCTCTCCCCCACCCCAAACAAAAACCCGCATTGCGAAGCAGCCACGCGAATTGGACGGAGAGCGAGCATATATTTATCACACAGAGAACATTTCACAAATCTATGCTAACCAAACTGTTCTGTCTATTGTCGCCTCCCTTTTCCTCCTCTAACACCAATTGGCTCAGTTAGCTGTCAGTGGACGCCTACGCGACATATATATCCGCTATGCATATTAAAATATATATATACATACAGCTGACAGATCGCGTTCGTTGTCGTTGTGACCTTTCCCTCCACATCATATATAGTATTTACACTGCCGAGAGGACGCTTCTATTTACAAATTATATCCGACAGTCATTTATACTTGCAATTTCAGAGATTATCTTAATCTTAATAGAGAAAATGTTTCTGAAATAAATTGTATTTTTTGTGAGAGCAGAAAAGTCCTGCGATTGATCTGTCTGATTTAAAGAGATATCTGATACGACAAAAGGAGCATAAATCATATAGAAAGCAACTATGATCCTATAAATATATACATACATATGTTAATGATTCTATGTAAATCTACATAAAAGAAAATTGAAACGATCTGATAAAAGAAGCATTGTATAAGGTGACTTTAGTATTCCACATCGACGATAAATATGCAAACATTGAGCACGAATTGTTTAATAAAACAACAAGAAATTGGGATTTTTATTTTCACAAATAATTTATTATTGGTCTCATCGGGTATACAAGATTGTATTTAACATATGTATGTATATATGTATATTAAAATATTAAATATGTATGCGTATATGTGTGTATATATATATATATATATATAGATAAATATATATTCATATATATATGTATATAAATATAAATGTGGCTGCAAATCACAATTTGTTTTATCATAATACTCGAAAATAAGTCAAATTTAATTTGATTTTAAACATCTAAATGAAACCAGACAATGCTGTCAAATTCGTTTTGAAATTTTGAAAAACTAATTTTGTCTTTCATGTTGCGATTCTGCTAGATTTACTTTGTGATCTTTGGCCATCAGTTGATCTCTGTCATTGGCATAAAACACTCACATTTACTCTCTTTTGCTCTCTATAATCTAATGTTTGGCTCTGGTGCATTCGTGAAAGGCACGATTTTTAGACTTTACAACGTTAATATACATATATATATATTTTTTTTTTTAATATTAATTTATGTATGTGTGTTTGTGTGGATGTGTGTTTGTTTGTGTGTGATGTGTGCAAGTGGCTTCTATTGACATATGCATGGCATGTATATTTTTGCATTTGGATATATCCACACACCAAAAACCCTGTGCCCATTTTGCCATTAGATGTGACGGGTGACGTGTTGTGTAAGTGTCGCCTGACTTTGTTTTCTTTTCTTTTATTTTCATTTTTATTTTTTGGTACTTGTTGTTGTTGTTGTTCTGGGTGGGTGTTGTGGTAGTACATTGTTAAGTTGTTGCAGTTTGGTAGTAGTAGTACTTAGTATGGATAGTAGTAGAAGTTTACACTAAAATGTATTACTTTTGCGACACTGCAAGATAGAGAAACAGAAAGCATTCAGTTTTAAGTTTTTTTTTTGTAACTTTGGTGTCGAATGACAACAACAACAAACAAACAGCAACAACAGCAGCGTCAAAGACAAAAATGTTACGAACAACTTATACAAATGAACAATAAACTAACTATATAATCTCGCCAAAGTCTATCCTACATAAAATGGATGTGATGACCGATAGCAAGAACCAGATAAGATGAATGTATGTGAACGGACAAAGACAGATAAATGTCTATAATACAAAACAAACTCAAGCTAAATAATAAACAAATTACACAAATATATTTTGCAATTCTATTAATCAAATAATATGTATAACTCAAACGATCATTGAAATAATTTTGCGCAATCCCGCAATTCTTCTCGCTTTGTCCACATTTCAGGATGATTAGTGTAATAAGTCTTAATAGCAAGCTTGACCAACGATGTTGGGAATTCTATTTAACAATTTTTTTTCTTATAAATTTTGTTACCTAAGCATGACTTGCATTTGAATTAAAAATTCAACGATACTATCCATGGAATTTTGGTGATAAACATTTTCTAACAGCAGGCAGATGCTTTATAAATATACCTCACAATTAATGGATATAGAAGGAGAAACAATTAATACTTGCTTACCAGAGTTCTCATTGAGTGGATCAAATGCCTCCAAGACACTCACACGCGAACTGCAAACGGAAAAGAGTTACCATTAGTTCTATTCAATCCAAAATCGAATAGCGGACAGAATGTGATGCATACTAATCATCCTGATTCAAATCGATCAAATCGTTGCCGGTTCGCTGAACGGGCAGCTGGGGTCCAACGGAGGGACAGCTGCCGACGGGTGGATTTGGACGGCGCACATTAAATCCAATAGAACTAGCAGCTTGTGGCACCGGTCCCGAATGTACAACTGGATGGCTGCTGTTATTGGCATTGGTGCTGCTGCTTTGGCTGTATGTTGAAGCTGCAGAGGTGCTTTGTGAACGAGAAAGGTCCACATGGGTGCTGGCGCCGTTGTTTGGCGCATATCCAGGCACACCAAAGCCATAGCCATGCGATGGGTATTGGGGCGGCATATAGGCAGCAGAGCCAGGCACAACGGGCACAGTGAACGTTGGATAGTACACAAAGCTCGCTGGGGCAACGGGCTGTACAGCCAACTGATTGGGCATGCTGTATAGGCGCTGCAGCTCCTCTTGGTTCAGCGGACGCTGCTGCAGTTGCTGCTGCGCAGTCGCCTGATATGGCACCAGTTGCATGCCAACACCACCTGGAGGCACAGCACTGCCATAAGTTGGTGGTGGTGCTGCTGTTGTTGCTGCTGCTGCTGCATAGTGCACAGGCACTGGAGATGCTGCTGCAACAGGACCCACCGGCACCAGAGCTGATTGTGGATTGTTTGCCTGCAGACGCTGCAGATCCTCAATCAGCTGATCGAACGGACTGCCGCCGCTCTCTGCCGTCGGCTGCTTGCTTGTGGGACTGGCAAAACAAATCAAATCGCTGTCACCTTTGCCCGTCGTCTGCCTTGCCGGTGGAGTACGTGAGCGATCTACGCGGTCCAACGAGGCGGCCGCCTGATTCGCCTCAGAGTGACGACGTCTTAGTTGTTGTTGTTGGTGGAGGTGTTGTTGTTGTTGTTGTTGGACGTAGTAATCGGCATTGCCCGTGCCATATTTTTTATTCCGGCGATAGTCATCGAGGGCCTGCTGCTCCAAACTGAGCGCTGTCGCCTTGGCCAAATCCTCCTGAAATTGCCTGTCGTAGTCCATTTGCGCCTGATTCGACATTATCCACCACGCGGAGTCTTCGACGACGACCAACTGCAAAGTGACACACACAAAATTTGTTAATTTAAAGTATGTTTTCTGTGTTCGAGTCAAGCCGAACAATGTCGTGTGATTTATTGTTCTTTTTTCCGCTTATCATTCGGTGTAGCGATAACGAAAGAAACGATAAAAGCGATTACGCTCTGTAAATTGGATTCGTACCCTTGGTGCGTAATGGTGAAAAGTAATCGCCAGAATATTTGACAGACAAAGCAAAAATATATACAATTTATTTGGATATCTAACTCAAGGCCAGACATAGTTCACCTGCAGTCTAACTAAAGGAACCATATGGTAGAAATTAGCTTAATATGCAAACATAATCAATCGAACGTTATGGATTTTGAAAATCGAAAAGAGTTACGGAAAATGCTTTTGGTTTTTGGATTTTTATAAGCCCCATAATAAAATATTCCTAAGAAATTAGAATTGAACATATGCCATTAGTTTATGCGTATTTAGGTTTTCATTTAAATTAATCAGTTTGGTGATAAGGAGGCATTGCTGCATTTAATGTCGTTGTTGTTATATTGCGTGTGCTGCGAATATAAACAAATGATTGCGACGCTTTCGCACACGATTATTGCCTGAAGAGAACAGCTGTTCAGCATGAATGCTTTCAAACACACACACACACACACACACACGCGAATTAAATACAGATGTGAAACCGGTACGTAGAAAACGAAATGAAAATATCAAAAGAAAAAAGAAGAGGTTACAATAGATAAGAAAACACACGCCGCAGGCAAAGCGAAAGCAGCAGGCGAGGTGGCAAAGGTTAGACAATCAATAAAAAATCCAAATACTCTTGAGAATAATAAATGATGAACAAATGCTGTGATGAGCAGCAGCAGTTTGACAAGTTCAAATTTGCATACGTATTCATATATACTTACATACATACATACACTTAAATAAAGGTGGGTATACAAATTTGTAAATGTACACTCACACATACATACATGTGTAGTCATACGCATACATACATACATATGTATGTGTATATCACAGTGTAGAGTGGAACAGCAAAAATGCGAATGATAAAAGTGCTTTGAGAACTTTTATATAATGATAATGACAATAGGCGTCGTGAAAATATTTCAGCATATATATACATTAATGTACATACATACGTTGTAAATAGCTAAATACAAATTTTCACAAACACACACATACGCATATCATCACACATATCTGTATGTGTATTAAGTCTCGCTTTTCGCCAACTTACATTTTTCTTGCACTTGCTCAATGCTGCCGTCGAATTTAGTTGCCAAAGTTGTGAATGCTATGTATATTTATATGGTTTTTCATTTGATTTCTGGATAATTCCGCGGCTTTGGAGCTTCCTCCACTTATAAACACACACACGCACACATACATAAAACAGATATTACACTAACACAAACACACCGAAATTGAGACTTGCACCCAACAAAAAAAAACCGAAACTGAAACACAAACACAAACACGTAGGCGAAACACGCGAAATACTGTTTAATACGACATTATATTTACAAGTATGGTGTAAGCAATATGACAAATATGCTTAATTGAATGTTTCTAAATTGCAACGTTCGCTTTGACACACATACAATAACACAATAACAAACGCCACGAAAAGATGCACCAAACGGAATGCAACAAGCAGAGTAATAACTTATATTTAAAGTTTAGGTACACACTATCAAGTCATATATCGATTTATTTTTGTTCGATAGGTTATAAAACGTGTACGATATTCATCGATTAATAGCTTTAAATTTAAAATTCAGTTGATATTAAGATTAGCGAAGACTAAATCTTCAATCTCCAAAGTATTGCCATTGTCCATGGCCAGTTTTTTGGAATCATCATCGAGGCCAACAGTTGTCCAATAGTCCAAAGCGCCATTGCCCGGCAAATTATACATTCTACGATATGAGGCCTCGATATTCTCGTCCAACATACGATCCACAATATCGCCTGCTAGCATTGCTGCCGGTTGACTGACGCTCATGTCCTCTAACTGAGACTTGGGTTGCGGTTGGCTACCTTTGCTGTGGCTAGCAGCGATGCGTTGTGAAAATTCCACATTCTCGACGCCCATTTTGCAGAGGGCGCACTTGCTTTGGCCAATCTGCTGCTTCATCTTCTGCAGGGCGAGCCGATCTTGGGTAAGCAGCATGCGCTCCTGCGACAGCTGTGCCTCCTTCTCGCTCAACTCGTGCGCGCGAGTGCTCATCAGCTGCAGCTTGGCATTGAGTAGTTGCTCGGACTCCTGGGCCTTGTGCTCGGCCAGATGTGCACGCTTGATAGCTAGACGATAGGCAGTGGATGCCTGCACCACCTCATCCTCCTTGACATTGAGCGTATTCTCTTTATCCAGCAGCAGGCGCTTGCGCTGCTCCAGCTCCCGCTGCTGCTTGTGACATCGATCCCGCTGCTCATCTGCCCGCTTGATGGCATCTCGAGCCACCTGCAGCTGTGCTTCCAGCTCCAATCGCTCCTTGTCCAAATCGCCCTGCTCGTGCAGCTTGTGCTGCATCTCCAGTTTCTGTTGCTCAACTACGAGCCGTGTGCGTTCCTGCTGCACATCCAGCTGCATACGCTCAATCTCTGCTAACTGAAACGTTTTCAGTTCCTCGATTCGCTTCTCGTCGCGTTCCATTTGCTCGCGATGGAACTGCTTCTCCAGCTCGAATGCCTTCTTCTCGGACTCAATGCTGGCCATGCGCTGACGCAGCTGCCAGTTTTCCTCGGCCGTGTCCTTGGAGAGGCGATTCATCTGCAGCTCTAGTGTGCTCACCAGCTCCATGAGGCGACGCTTTTCCTCGTCGGCGCCCTCCTCGTTGATCTTCAAGCGACGCTCCGCATCGGCCAGCCGACGCTCCCGTGCCTCCAATTGCTGTTCGCGCTCCTTGGTCGTTGTGATGCCCTCGCGCAGCTCTTGCAGATCACTGGACGCCGTTCGCAGCGTTTCCAAGTAGCTGCCATGATCCCGCAGCGCCGACTGCTCCAGCATATTGGCTTGCCTTATGCGCTCCATATCCGCTTCATGGGAGCCGCGCAACTGGCGCATATCATCCTCGTGGTCCTGCTTCAAGCTGGAAATCTGCAGCTCATAGTCGCTCTTCAGTTTCTCCAGTTTCCCCATGTAGTAATCTCTCAGTTCGGTGTTCTCCAGCTTCAGGCGATTCTCCACAGCAGCCAAATGCTGCTCCAATACCTTTAGTTGTTTTCTGTAGCAAAGAAAATTAAAATCATTAGTAAATACCCTGTAACCAGATCTCTACATGAGATAGCAGATAGCTCCTGACGTAATCCCAACTCACTTGTAGGAGGTCTCGATCATTTCAATCTCCTGTTCGTAGTTTACTTTCATGTTAGCCACCAGCTCCTCCAATCGCTGCTTCTCAAGTGCGTTGCGCTTGGCATCCGTTTCCAGCAGCAGCAACTGATCCTTGCTTTCGTCCCTCGGTGTAACATTTGCGACAGGTGGCAGCTTCTCCACCTGCGCAGCAGTTGCATTCGCTGTTTCCATGCGTGCCGTTGCATTCACCATAATGGGTTGTGTCATCATCAGCTGAAGTTGCACATTGATGCGTTCCTGTTGCGCCTTGATGTGCTCCTCCATTTGCTGCTGGCGCTGAAGCTGCTGCTGCAGCAGCGCTTGAAACTTGCGATCCTGCGTCTCCTGTTTGTGCTGCATTTCCACCAAAGCGCGCTCCTGACTCTTCATCTGGGCAGCAATTGCTAGCTGAGTCTCTTGCTGCTGCAGAGCATTGTAGTTGTGACTGCTCTCCAAGTTCAAGCTGTTCAGCATTAGAATCTTTTGCGTTGTGGCATCAGCAGCAGCAGGCGCAACTACCACAGGCAGTGGTGGTTCCATATCCACATCGACGGAGTCGGACTTGTGCAGTACATCCTGTGCTGGTGCTGGCTCCTTGGTCACTGTTTGTACATGTTCCAGCTCCTCGTCGGCTGTTGCATGCGTTGCGGCCATCTCGACGCTTACCAGGCCCAGCCAGTCAGCGGTGCCACGCTTCTTGGACACCGGCGTGGACATACCCGAAACTGTAACATTTGTCTCCTTGTCCCTGCCAAACAGACCCAATGGATCAGTGTTCAGATTGGCCGATTGGGCAGAGGCAGAACTCCGTCGGCCCGCTCCTGCTGCAGTTTTGGGCCGTGCCTGTGAATTGTCTGTCGTTGTGTCCGTCGACTGGCGGGACATCGAGGGCTTCGCAGTTGCTGGACGTTTGCTTGTGGCAGCATCGCTACTATTTAGTATTTCATCGAAAATGTTACGCTTGGGCTCTGCGGCGCCGAGTAGATCGTCGAAGAGATTCTTTCTTGCTCCACCGCCGCTCTTGGGGCGCTTGGGATCGAATCCCAGGTCATCGTCCTCGGCATCATCCATGGAGAGCGATGGCTTCTGTTTGACGATGCGCGGTGTGCTAGTTACCGTCGATTTGGCATTAGCTTGCTTAATAGCTGTAGTATTTTGTGCCTCCGGTTCTGTTTCCTCCTTGATGCCAAAAAGATCCTCGAGTTTTCCCTTGGCCTTGTTTGACTTGGGCAATTTTTTTGCACTGCCACCGGCTGGAGCGTCAAAGAAACTGTCATTGTCCAAACTATTATCACTCAGGAGATCAGCAAGTGGATCGTCGCTGAAATTCATTTCGAACTCAAAAAGCTTTCGATTTTTAAAGTGAAGAAAACTCACAAACAATTGTGCTGAAAGCCATCGTTGCTTAGTAACGAACTTTGCCATTTTTTGATACATTTCTATTCCCGCTTATGTGTACACACTGCAATATCAAGTTATGCATATAAAATGCCTATCGATGTATCGATTTGCCAGGCCTGACTGTCTGCTTGCGAGTTGCCAACCATCATCGGACAAATAGATGCTTAATTGTTTATTTGCCTGAAAATGAGCAATATTTACATCCAAGAGCCGCCAACATCGGGCAAAGTACTGTTGAAAACGACTGTGGGCGACATCGATATCGAATTATGGGCGAGAGAGTGCCCAAAGGCGTGTCGCAACTTTGTCCAGCTCTGCCTGGAGGGCTACTACAATGGAACCACATTTCACCGGCTAGTGAAAGGATTCATTGTCCAGGGTGGAGATCCAAATGGTGATGGCACTGGCGGTGAATCGATCTACGGCCACCCGTTCAAGGATGAATTTCATTCACGATTGCGCTACTCGCGCCGCGGTTTGGTTGGCATGGCGAACTCTGGCAAGGATGACAACGCATCGCAATTTTTCTTCACGTTTGCGGCAACGCCCGAATTGGAAAACAAAAATACGCTCTTTGGCAAGGTCACCGGCGATACAGTTTTCAATATGCTCAAATTGGAGGAGAGCATCGTGGATTACCAGGAGCGGCCCATGTATGCGCATCGCATCATTTCTGCTGAGGTGCTCACGAATCCCTACAATGATATTGTGCCGCGATCCCTGCCCAAACCAGTCTCCAAAACAAAAAAGAGCAAAAAGGAAAAGCAAGGCGTCAAGTAAGTGTCAAATTTGTTTTAATTTTTAAATTAAAATTAACATTTTTTCTGTAGAAACTTTGGATTGCTTTCCTTTGGAGAAGAGGCCGAGGGAGACGAACAGGAAACTAGCATATTTGTCAAACAGAATGCTGGTAAAGCAAAATCCTTGCATGATGCAACCGATGACCCAAAGCTAAGTAAGGAACCCATCAAGGTGCCCAAAACAGAACGAGCTCCGAGCGAGGAGCATTTATCGGATGACTGCAAAGAGTTTGTCGCCAGATCGACAAACAAATGTTCTGATCTCGTTAAAAGTAAACTGGCCAAAGCAACAACAAAACTGTCCAAGCGTGCAGAGATAAAAATTGAATCAGAGGACAATGATGATGATGAAGGTGATGTTCTGATGACTCGGGAGCAAGAGCAAAGTTTGCAAAGGTCCAAAGAAAAGTATGTGTTTTATATTTGTACTAAAAAGCTGTTTTAATTGAATTGCATTTCTTCTCTAGGTCAAAGATACGGGATGAAATCGAATCTCTGAAGCGTCAATATCAAATGGATAAAGTCACCAAGGAAAAACAACTAACACAAGAGACCGAAAAAAGCTCCAAGACGGATGACATAAAGGGAGCCAGTGAAAATCATTACATTAATGATTTCATTCAAGAAAAACAAAAGTATACTGCAAAGACAAAGTCTAATCTTAAGGGACAAGGAAGGTGAATACTTTAGTTATCAACTTACGATCGTATATAAATTTATATACATATTAATTACATTATTTATTTGAATCAGAGAGGAGTTTACATTGAATTTGTTGTCCAAGTTCAAATCTAAATTGGGTAATCTCAAATATAAATCAAGCTCTGACGATGTCGAGGCGGAATCCAAACAGTTGGACGAGAGTACGGTGGAAAAGGAAATCACTGGCGATGACTGGTTGGCGCACACTCTCAACTTTAACAGCAATGTGCCGGTTTTAGCCAAGGATGCGTCCACCAAGAGCGATGACTGGTATGATGTCTACGATCCGCGTAATCCACTTAATAAACGCAAGCGGGGCACCGCTGAACACAGTAAATCCAAATCATCAAAATCTGCTAGGCGAAATTATTGATTTAATAAAGTTCATTTAATTGTTTGCTAGCTAAATTTCAAATGCGATTCGCTTATCTATAACTTTTTAGTATTTTTTATCGATTTGCCGAAAAATTCGGTATTTTCGATTATTTAAAATGAGGCCGTATCGAATAATCGGATTACCATCGATAGATTTGCTAGCGGTAGCAGCTGAACAAGAAAAAACAAAAAGGTACTCAAGGTGAAGTAATTTGGCTTAATAATACAGGTAATTATTGCAAACACTCCACTTCAAATTGTGCAAAAAAAATTGGCTCACAAAGTGACGTAATTTGTACAGAGAAATCAAGTCAAAATAACGCCACAAATCCAGCCAACATTTTGCGTCATTATCAAATTATTGATTTTATTTGACATTTGTTTTCGATGCCGTTGTCGTCACAGCTACAGCCAAACATACACACAAAGCAGACACACACACACACACCACACCGAGCGAGCGTGGGGCTGAAAAGGGGGACAAAGGCAAGGCTGCTTTAGTCACCGGCCTCAAAACAGCCACATCCAGCAAAATGAGTGCGAAAAGCAAACGCCCAGGCACAGCGAACAGTCAGACACCGAATGAGTGCGTTCAGGTCGTGGTGCGATGTCGTCCGATGAGCAATCGGGAGCGCACCGAAGGCTCGCCGGAGGTTGTCAATGTCTATCCGAATCGCGGTGTCGTCGAGCTACAGAATCTGGTAGATGCGAACAAGGAGCAGCGCAAGGTGTTCACCTATGATGCCGCATACGATGCGAATGCGTCACAGACAACGCTTTACCATGAGGTCGTCTTTCCACTGGTCAGCTCCGTGCTGGAGGGTTTTAATGGCTGTATCTTTGCGTATGGTCAGACGGGCACGGGCAAAACGTTTACGATGGAGGGTGTGCGTGGCAATGATGATTTGATTGGCATTATACCGCGTACATTTGAGCAAATCTGGCTGCACATCAATCGCACCGAGAACTTTCAGTTTTTGGTTGACGTCTCGTATCTGGAGATCTACATGGAGGAGCTGCGCGATCTACTCAAACCCAATTCCAAGCATCTGGAGGTGCGTGAACGCGGCTCCGGCGTCTATGTGCCCAATCTGCATGCCATCAACTGCAAGAGTGTCGACGACATGTTCCACGTAATGAAGCTGGGCAACAAGAATCGCACTGTCGGCTTCACCAACATGAACGAGCACAGTTCCCGGTAAGTTCTTCTGTCAGCTTCAGCTAAAGATTGCTGCTTACAGATTAATATCTATATATTTTTTTTGCAGTTCGCATGCCATATTTATGATCAAGATCGAGATGTGCGACACGGAGACGAACACGATCAAGGTGGGCAAGCTGAATCTCATTGATTTGGCTGGCAGTGAGCGACAGTCGAAGACAGGCGCTTCGGCGGAACGCCTCAAGGAGGCCAGCAAAATCAATTTGGCGCTCTCATCGCTGGGCAATGTAATCTCAGCGTTGGCAGAGAACTCGCCCCATGTACCGTATCGTGATTCAAAGCTGACGCGCCTGCTACAGGACTCACTGGGCGGCAACTCAAAGACGATCATGATTGCCAACATTGGACCATCGAATTACAATTACAACGAGACGCTAACGACACTGCGCTATGCACAGCGGGCCAAGAACATCCAGAATCAGCCCATTAAGAACGAGGATCCGCAGGATGCCAAACTCAAGGAGTACCAGGCAGAAATTGAGCGACTCAAGCGTCTCATTGCGCCGCAACAACAACAACGCACCGAGAAACTAGCAGCGGCGGCGAAGAAGCGCGTCAAGAAGCCAAAGCGGGAACAGCCGCGTCGCGCTTTAACGGATAGTGCGGTTCAGGAACAGCAACTGCACGTAGAAGAGGAGGCGGAGAGTGAAGCTGATGCTTCGGAGCCCGAGTCGGACAAGGAGAACGAGGCGGAGGTGGCCAAGTCCAATGAGCAATTGGAACGCGAGCGTGTGGAGAACGCCAAACTGGCGGCCAAGCTGGCTGAGCTCGAGGGTCAGCTGGTGCGCGGCGGTAAGAATCTGCTGGACACGTACAGCGAACGCCAGATCGAGCTGGAAAAGAAGCTGGTGGAGATTGCTGAGCGCAAGAAGCGTGAAATTGAAATACAACAGCAGCTGGAACTGCAAGAGGAGACGACACTGGAGATAAGGGAGCGCAACGTTTCGCTGGAGCAGGAGGTGGAGCTGAAGAAGCGCAAGCTATCCAAATGCTACGCCAAGTATCTGGCGCTTCAGCAGGAGCTGAACGACTGCAAGCACGATCACAACCAGGATCTGCGCGAACTGGAGATGGCACAGAACGAGCTGGTCAAGGAGCTGAAGCGCCAGCTGCTGATCATTGACAATTTTGTGCCCGTCGAGGTGAAGCAGCGCCTGTACACTCAGGCCAAATACGACGAGGAGCAGGAGGAATGGAAATTCGCCCCATTGCCGATGCCACTGACCGTGGATGGTAAATTCAGTAGCAAGCGTCCCGTCTCGCATCCGCTACGACGACGACCCACCTCAGAGTATGCACTGCAGGAGGCTAAATCGAGTGCGCCCAGTGCGCTGCGCTTTAAGAGCGAGAACATTGTCAGCTATGAGCTGGAGATGCCCTGTCGCACCACCCAAGAGTATCGCACGCCCAAGGTGTCTGCCTCGTTGCAAGCGGTCCTCGCCCAGGCCATGCAGACCGGCGACGACATTGACATTGTGGACTCTCACACCAATTCGCTGCGCCATCGTCTCGAAAATATCATCAATGGCAATGCCAATGCAGGTACATTGCCATCTGCTGCTGCGACTGCTGCAGCTGCTGCTGCTAGTGCAACTGTAAATGCAACCGGTCCAGGTGGCGCGTCCAATGTGCGTCACGTCAAGTCCACACGCAGTGGCCTGCCCAGTCCGGGATCAGCGCTCGACTCTAATCGACGACCGCCCACAGGCCGTTTGCAGCCCAAAAAGCCTGCCTCGGCTTATCCCAAGGCACGTGGCCTGGTCAACAAGTAGTTGTAGTAGGAAAGTACTCAAAACCAACTCATCTCAGTCAGTTGCCAGTCACAACAACACAACACACACACATTCACACGTTCACTAACCAAAGCTCTCATATAGTCAGTCACAAATGTCAAATGTCTGTTTTTGGCAAATCGAATCCTTGTTCCAGTTCCGCACTCTTTGCTAACTCCTTAGCCCAATCTTCGCACAATTCTCGCTTTGTAAAAGTATTTTGCATTTTTGTATTCTTGTTTATTCTATTTATGTTTACTTTTTAATTATCGTTTTTTGGTTATTCTCGTATTTAGTTTGTTATTGCTTTCGTGTGCACGGCTGGGGCGCATCGTCTGAATTTTGCCCCACTGTGGCCAAGTCATTCATTTATGTGCAATTTAATCTTAAGTTTAACGTGTACTTTTAAATTGTTTATAATTATACTTAGTACAAGCAGCTTAGTTAATCAGGTAAACCAAATAAAAAGCAACTCAAAACAAATATAATATTTTTATCAGATTTGGTTATTGGTTTTTTAAATGTGAACTAAGTTGTTGGTTCAATTATAAGTGCAGCAGACAAATGTACAGATCCCACCCATTACTGGATGACCTTGAGTGAGCGACCAACCTCAATGAAGGCTTCAATAGCTCGATCAATTTCCGCCTCTGTGTGAGCGGCGGAGATTTGAACGCGAATGCGTGCCTTGCCCTGCGGCACCACTGGATAGCTGAATCCAATGACATAAATGCCACGTGCTGCAATAAATAAAGTGGCAACTGTATATGTAGTCCAGATGCGTATTTAGCACTTACTTAGCATTTGATCGGCAAAGGTGGAGGCCAGACGGGCATCGCCCAACATGACCGGACAGATGGGATGATTCTCGCCAGCAATGTTGAATCCCGCCTTTGTCATGGCATCGCGGAAGCGTTGCGTGTTGCTCTGGACACGCTGACAGAGTTCACTGGAGCTGAGCAGCATGTCCATGACCTTGAGGCCGACGGCTACTACAGCCGGCGGCAGTGTGTTGGAGAAGAGATATGGACGCGATTTCTGGCGCAGAAATGAGATTAGCTCGGTGGGGCCAGTTGTATATCCACCAGAGGCGCCACCCAGTGCTTTGCCTAGCGTCGAGTTGATAATATCCACCTCGCCCATGACATTGGCATACTCCTCGGTGCCGCGTCCAGTGGCACCAAAGAAGCCTGTCGCATGGCACTCATCAACAAACACGAGTGCATCATATTTCTTGGCCAGCTCGACAATGCGAGCCAACGGCGCTATATTGCCATCCATGGAGAAGACACCATCGGTGGCAATCAGCTTGAGACGGGCATCGCTCGACCGCAGCTGCTGCTCCAAATCAGTCAGATCGCGATGCTTGTAGCGCTGCTTCTTCGCCTTGCACAACCGGATGCCATCGATGATAGACGCATGGTTCAGCTCATCGGAGAAGACGGCATCCTCGGGCGTGAGTATTGCCTCAAAAATGCCCGCATTGGCGTCAAAGCACGACGCATACAAGATCGTATCCTCGCGTCCATGAAATTGCGCAATCTTCTGCTCCAGCTTCTTGTGGATGTCCTGAGTGCCACAAATGAATCGCACCGAGCTCAATCCAGCACCATATTTATTCAGCAGCTGTTGACTGTACTGCACAATCTCCGGATTGTTCTGATGTGAGAATTAAATAATAGATTAAATGGGTTGTCAATAAAATCTGGCACACAAACTAACCGCCAGCCCCAGATAGTTATTGGCACAAAAATTCAGAATCTGGCGATCGCTGCCCTGCACCGTTATCTGTGTGCTCTGCGATGAGGTTATGATGCGCTCCGCCTTAAAAGTCCCCGCCTCCTTGATACCACTCAGTTGTTTGCTTAGCAGCTCACGCAGCTGGGTCTGCGCAGCGGCGCTATAATGACGCACTTGCTCCCCAGCTATGCGCATTCAAAAATATTACATAAAGTCAACGCAAGTATCAGCAATTCTCGACAACAATACGCAATTGGCAAAGAAAAACTTACCGCAGCCGCGTAGTGATATTACTTTTGACAAAGTGGACATGATGCGGCGTATACTCAATATGTGTGTATCTATGTGAACCTGTCCACTCAACGTCTCGAATGGAACTGAACGGAAAAAAAACGCAAATCTCAGCGTCAACGAACGCAGCAATGTCAACGACAACGGTGCCAGGTCCCCTAAAATATGGCAGCAGCAATAGCAACAATTTTGTATCGGTTGTTTCTTGTTTTTATTTATAAATACATAGACCGCACTAAACTTCATTCATGTGTATGTATGTAGTACTCATAACTACATACAAACATACATCTGCACATAAATGCTTTTTATTCAGTTAATTTAATTTGCTTTCATTTTCGTTGTCATGGCTGTCATAGTATGCTGTTGGATATTTTCTGTATTTTGTTGTTTCATGTGCTACACTCAGAGAATGATCCCACAATATCCATTATTGCTTTCTATTTACAAATTTGTTCCAAGTGTTTTTAAATGCAGTTAAGAAAAAATGCAATTTCAATTTGTGTTCAGCAAATAGTTGCTATAGTGTTTATTACATATTAAAAAACATATTTATTGATTTTATTTGCAGAGATAATTGATTTATATAACCAAAAAGAATTGAAATGAAAATCGTAAACCCATTATATATATCTGTAAATTTGTTGTGGTGTTCATGTCAATAATCTTTCCTACGGCTAATTGTATAAATTACTGACAAGGTCGCTGTCAATTATTTATTTTCTTTAATATGTTCAAGTTTCACGTTCTTCTACACATGCATACTTATACAAACATACAATCCACAATATACTTTTGCAAATAAGCAAAAATGTATTTATATACATTCGATTTAAATGTGCATTTGATTTAAATTAGTGTGAGTTGAAGAACTCATCTGAGTTCAATAGTAAACTAAGCTGATAAGCAAATTTCAAATGCTGAAATGTGTGTGTGTTTCACTCTACCACCAATATCTTGCAAGCATACATAATAGTATTGAATAAATATGTACATGTGTAAGTATTCTTGATCACTGTGATCACTATCGATTTAGCATAAATATATACCCTTGTAGAGGGTATTCTAATTTTTTCATGACACGCGTAACACATTGTAACTTTCCCGACCTTGAAAATATATTTATGCTTGATCAGTATCACAATCACTGAAGCCATCTACGTCTGTCCGTATGTCCTTACTTTGTACAACAATTTTTTAACTGAGTTAGACTCCATTATACCGTAGACATACATGTCAAATATAAAATATAACCATATAAATTTTGATATTCACTTCTCAGCCAGTAGAGAAATGGAAAGCATCTGAATAAAATGTTAAACGAGACATATACAAAACGAGTAATAAAAATATAAATGTTTTGAACTACGGTTTAAAATTTAGATGTTAGCAAATTAATTTCCATTTCGATTTAAATATATATATTTCTTAAGAATATGCAGTTTTATTTTTAATTTAGTTGTTAACAAAAATATTCAAAATAAATAGATAAAGTAAAAAGTAAATGAACAACAGGTTCTACCGAGATTTGAACTCGGATCGCTGGATTCAAAGTCCAGAGTGCTAACCATTACACCATAGAACCTCACATTTTTCGCCCGAATTCAGCAACAAATATTTACGAACACATCTATGCTTGGCAACTTTTACATCAGTTTCACAGCATTTCATGAGGTCAATAACATTTTAATAATCAAACAAATGTTTGGTAAGACACGAAAGCAAGTATAAACTTTTTCTTGAAGAATCATGAATGTAAATTTTGAATAATTATGTTCGCAACTACATTCATTTTATAAAAACGTGCTTCCTATGAGTAATACTAGTAATCAAACACATATTGATAATGAAATAGGCGCAACAGTTTCTTCGTTGGATACGCCCCTCCCCAGTCGCATATAAAATGGAAGCAAGCAGCGCTGCTGGCTTCAGTTTTCCTGCCATTGTCTACGCTTAAGCATATTTGAAAAGTGTCTATTCTGAAATTACCAATTTATGTTTGAAAATGATAAATGTGTAAAGATGCATATTGAGAAACCTCAGCTAGTGACTTTATTTTCTCTGTGTCTGTTTCTGGCCTCCGTGCACCTGCCACGGATAACGGCAAGTGGAGATCGCAACCAGGCACAGCTGCAAGGCAGCAACGATGGTACCCTGCTCATTGAGGCGGCCACAGACCAGAACATAACATTCCGCCTAATGGGCGAGGCAGCCACGCTGCTCCTGAATGACGTGGACATTGTGTCCTTGCTCCAGATGCGTCGTCAAGCATCAGCAGTGCAGTCTGGAGCGACACAGCGCGAACCCTTGTCGCTAGACGCCCTGAAGGAACAGTTTCGTAGCGTTCAAAGTTATCTGACACGACTCGGAGTACGGTTGAGATACATGAACCGTGGCACAAGACGATCACGGCGACTGACGTTCCGGATTATGAAACGTATCCGCGATATGGAAATAACCATAACAAGCCTCGAATCTGACCTGGAAATAGATGAGTGTCTGTCAAGTCCCTGTAAGAATGGCGGCACTTGCTACGACGAATACAAGGCCTTCTACTGCAGCTGTTCCGCCGCCTGGCAAGTGAGTACGTGGGCAAATGGGCGTCTCCATATCCACGAGTCCATTAATATGGGGCGTAATTGAGTATTACAGCGTATGCATCAGTTCTTATCTCAGTTGCAAATTTAAAAACACTACGCTGGTTGAGCCGCAGATTTAATAACCTCAACATACGATATAAATAGTATATATATATAGTTGTTCAATCCTAAACTGATAAACAGTTTTTTAACAACTATCTATCTGTTATTTTATATTTGGTATGATAAACAAATTGAGTTTCGTTTTTAAATCTTATAAGGACATAAATTGGGCAGATTATTCAAAATAGGTTTGAGAGCAGAAAAGGAAGAGAAGAATGATTTTTTTCTGGCAAAAATCGCAAAGTTGCCAGAAGAAATCTATTAATAAATATGCGTTAAAAGTATTTGTTTATTTGTTTTATTTATCCTTTATTTCTTTGACAACTCCAGGGACTGACATGCGAGGACGATGTGGACGAATGCTCGGAATATGCTGGCACCGCCTTGGCTGTTTGCTATAACGATGCACAGTGTATTAATACACCCGGCAGCTATAGGTAAGCAGATAGCAGTAGATAGGAACAGCACCAGGAACTCAGCCTTTAATCCGTAATGCTTTATTTGTGTAGGTGCAACTGTCGCACTGGCTTCTACGGCACCCACTGTCGTCTGCGTCAAAACGCCTGTCTGGCCAATCAGTCCGCCGAGCTGTGCGGCAGCCACGGCACCTGCCTGCCCGCCGCCTCTGCGGGTGGCTTCGTCTGCATCTGCGATCAGGGCTGGACATGGGCGGATACTAATGTCACCACGGCGAGTGCAAGTCCCTGCACACGCGATGTGAATGAATGCTCTCCGGACGTCAATCCGTGTCACAGCGAGTGTATTAATTTGCCGGGCAGCTTTCGCTGTGGCGCCTGCCCGCCGGGCTATACAGGTTGGTCAATGATCGATGAATAGCTGTGGATAGTAAAGCTGAACTTGTTTCAGGTGACGGCAAGTATTGTCGCGATATTAACGAATGTGCCGATGGCAACAACGGTGGCTGCAGCAAACGTCCGAGAGTCAATTGCATTAATACGGAGGGCTCATCTCGCTGCGGACGCTGTCCGCCCGGGTGGACGGGAGATGGTCGCACCTGTACCGAGGCCAAGTCCAACACGTGCCATGGGGAACAAATTTGCCATCCACGTGCACAGTGTGAGTACATCTCCGGTACGGTTGTCTGCAGCTGCCCCCTTGGCTTTTTTGGACATGGTTATGGGGCGGATGGCTGCACGGAGGACTCTGGCCGCAAACCCTGCGACAACCACAGCTGTCTGAACAATGGTACCTGTGTGCTCAGCGGTCGTGGTACCACATGCATCTGTCAACCAGGCTATACAGGTGCCTTGTGCGCCGAGGCTGATGACTGTCATCCAAATCCTTGTCAGAATGGAGGCACTTGTCGTCTACTACCCGGGCGACAGCATCGGTGCTTATGCCCCGCTGGCTACACCGGCAGCACCTGCTCTTATTTGCGCAACTACTGCGGCCGCGTTCTATTCAACGTGGCAGGCAGCATGCAGTTTCCGCCCAGCGAAGACAATAGCAGCAGTGGCTATCACCCTAACGAGCGGTGCGCCTTCATCATACGCACTTGGCGCCGCCGGGTGCTGAACGTCACCTTTGGCATGTTTGACCTACAGCCCAGTGACGATTGTACTAAAGATTATGTCCAGATTCACGATGGTAACACACTGACTGCCCCGCTCATCGGACGCTTCTGTGGCCACGAATTGCCATTTGGCAATGGTACCTTGGTTTCCACCCAGGAGCAACTGTTCTTCTGGTTCCGCTCGGACAATGCAACGCAGGCGCGTGGCTTTAATTTAACATGGAACTCACAGGAATTGGTGTGCGGTGAGCAACTGAGACTGGCTCTGGGCGAGAGTGGAGTTTTGCGTTCGCCCAGCTACCCGGGTAAGGCTCGTCCTAGTCTCGATTGCAGTTGGGACTTGACTGCACCGTTTGGCACTCGGCTGCTATTGCGCTTTTACGAGATTACGCTGGGCAGCAGGATGATCATCAGTCAGTCTGCACCCAACTGCAGCAATGCGGATAATTTGAGTGTCCGTGATGCGGATCGACAGCTTTATTTGGCCTGCCAATCAGTGCAACCTGCACCATTGTACAGTTCATCCAATCTGTTGAACATACACTTTCACACGGACATGTATCGCTCGGACAGCTCCTTTCAACTGCACTACGAGGTTGTTGCGGGTCATCCCGGCTGCGGTGGCGTCTTCACCGAGCGAAGCGGCGTTATCAGTGGCCACATGAACGCCGACCTCTGCTTGTATCGAATTGAACAGCCCGTAGGCACACAGATTCAGCTCAACTTCCATCAAATTAATCTAATGTATTCCAACAATTGTCATCTGCAAAAACTGGAGATATTCGATGGGGCCAGCGATGAGGAGCCGCTGTTGCGTCGTTATTGCGGAGAGCCGAAGTACGGTGAACTGCAGCCGCTAATCTCTAGCAGTAATATTGTACTGGTGCGCTATGAGTACAAATGGGCGGGTCTGGATATGCAAAAGAGCTTTGAGCTCCGCTACAGTCGAGGTAGGCCCTATCACATTGTGAAATCTTTGTAAGATTAAAATCAGTATTTTTTTGTTTGCAGTTTGCATCTACAACTACACCGATGGTGAGGATGGCATTATAACCACTCCCAACTATCCAAATCCTTACCTGGAGAATGTGGATTGTACTTTTTTCATACGAGGAGATTTGGGGAAAAGAATACGCATTAATATAACCGATCTATCGTTAAGCGAAATGCAGCCACCGCCTTCAGAGACTGCTGAACTCTCCATTAATTCTGTAGATCAGTTAAACTACTTAGATGTGAGTATCTTGATGTCCAATAATTGAACATGCAATAATTATGTTTATAATATAGGTTTATCTTTCTCGGAATGAAAGCGACAAGCAACGTTTATTCAAGAACTTGACCAATGTATTGCTGATATCTCATAACAATCAGGCGCGCTTGGTCTTTCACAGTGCAGGCAATCCACAACGTGGTCGTGGTTTGCGTGTGGAATACAGCTTCATTAATGACGCTTGTGGAGGGGTTCTGAGTACGCCAAGTGGAAGAATACCTGATAGGATTTTTAGGCGCTACTGCTTGTGGACCATTGAGACGGTAGGCAGAAAGCATCTCCACATCAGTTTTGAAATGTTGTGGGGTGCTGCGCGCCTTTTCATTTTTGATAACAGCACTGGAACAGAAGCCAAATTGTTGAACACCTATAATATAGGGAGTAGTTCAGAAGAATTACAAATTAATGAATACACTGATTCAAATCTGCTGACAATAATTGTGTCTCCCTATGTGTTTTCGTCCTACTCTATCTACCTATTATATGAGCCGGCTAAGGAAGGTAACTCAATCTCTTACCTTATTTCAAACTGTATACAAGCAGACTATATAACCGCGATTATATTTCAATAGTTTGTGGCGGAAGCTCTGCAGCTCGATACGGAACTATTCAATCACCAAATTGGCCACAAAAATATGGCAGATTAGAAAATTGCTCATGGATTATTAAAGCACCACTTGGCAGTCGAATTGAGCTGATTGTTCAGAATTTTACATTGGAATCAACAGACGCCTGTGAAGATGACTATCTGGAAATAAGGTGAGGCTTAAAATGGAATAGATTAATTTTATAAATTTGACTTGAAGATAACTTTCACACCGTCTTAAAAAATCCTTAATGTTAATTTGTCTCGCTCTCTCTCTACCTCTCTCGCTGTCTCTGTCACAACTTTTTCTGTCGCTCATCCCGCACAGAAATGGCAACCAGGCGACATCACCGCTTATTGGGCGATACTGTGGCAGTCATATACCTCCACGTATTCCATCGTATGGCAATGCCCTGCACGTTTACTTCCGGACGGACTCATTGGTGCAGGAGGCTGGCTTCCATCTAAACTGGCAAATGGCAACCGCTGGCTGTGGTGGAAAACTCAACTCAGCTGTGGGCGCCATCCACTCACCCCACAGCATGGATTTCAATAGTGGTGCAGTTTCATGCGACTGGCAAATTATCGTTGCACAGGGTTCCACTGTGCGGATACAGCTGCAGAGTCAGGATGATGTCTGCAACGGACAGTTGACCATATACGATGGACCCACGACACGTAGTTCGCCAATGTCGCTGAACTGCAGCAGCCCGGGTCAATCGTTGGACCTGGCATCCAGTAGCAACCGAGTGCTGGTGCGCTACAACGTTCCGAAGGAGTCACTCGATGGCATTCGATTCGTTCTGGATTACGCCACAAACTGTCGAGTGCGACTTGAGCAGTTGAGCGGCTCTATCGAAACGCCCAATTTCCCGGACAATTATCCAGCGAACACCAACTGCGAGTGGGATATTCGAGGCGGAGCTCTCAGCAATCGCTTGCAGCTGATCATCTCGCACATGGCCGTAGAGCGAACAGACAGTGGCTTTTGTTATTACGACTACGTTCTGCTGGCCGACTATCGCGATGATCAGCTAATAAACGAGAGTCGTCCGTGCAGTGCAAATCATCTGGACTTCACCAGCGAGGGCAATCGCCTGCTGATAAGTTTTCGCAGCGACGCCTCACAGCAAGCGATGGGCTTCCGCGCCGAGTACAAGCGTCTGGGCTGTGGAGGGGAACTGTTAGGACGAGGTGGCACCTTTGAGACACCCAATGCACCTTATAGCATTGATTTTGACTGCAACTGGTTGATTACGGCGCCCGATGGCTTTCAAATCCGACTGTTGCTGCGTGAAGTGCACATCGAGACGACGCTGCATGACTGCAGCCAGGATGGCCTTACTGTTCTGCCAGGTGGCAATTCATCGCACGTTTTGTTCCGCAGCTGCCAGGTGGAGACCAATGTGCAAACGCTGCTATCGCCGGCCAACGAGCTCCGTGTCCACTTTCACAGTAGTCCGCAACGTGCCCGCAAATACATCAAAGCTACGTATGTCATGGTGCCAGCCTCCTGCGGCGGCTATGTGAGCGTCAGCAATGGTGTCATTACCTCCCCCGGTTTCTACGAGCCAGGCATCCAAATCTATGACAAAGATGTAGAATGCGTTTGGACCATTGAGGTAAGTCGAAAGAATATGCCGGGGTCCTCCTCTTACACACTATTCACATTAATAATGGATAAAAGTCATAATGTGAAGTTGTGAAAATATATGGGAAGCATTTTCTACCACAATTCAACCAGGACCGTCAGTCTGCCTTTTTGTGCCAGGGAATTTTACGGTTTCCTTTATATTGATGAGCTTGTTCTGATCGCATTTCAGGTTGCCGACACCTATGGCTTCCTCTTGAACTTCGAGCAGTTCAACCTGACCGACTCGCCCAACTGCAGCCTTGCCGTGCTGGAGCTCTCCAGCCAAAAGGCCGACAACAGTGGACAGTTCCTTGAGCGAGCCTGTGGCGAGAAGAGTCCAGTCACGGTTCTGGTGCAGAACAAACTGCGCTTGCACTTGCAGGTTTCGGCGGGTAATTGGGCAAGATTCGCACTGCAATATCGGCGGTTCTGCGGCGGTACGCTGTCAGCCGATGAGGGCTATATACGGTCACGACTGGATGAATACTGCTACTGGACAATCAACGGGCCGGAGGGCAGTAAGATCAGTCTAAACATATATCAGCTGGAGTGTCCGCGGTGCACAGCGCCTGAGGGCAACTGTACGGCTGGTCTGCGAGTGATAAATGATGAGGATGGAGTGGAGTATTTTAATCTGTGCCAGGATCATCATGCTAATTTGATTGTGCCAACAAACAGGGTACGCATCCAGACCCGGGGCATTGTCCTGATTGCTCAATATACCAGCATGGAGAACTCCTGCGGTGGCAATATAACTTCTGTGCGTGGCACACTCAGCTCGCCCAACTATCCGGAGAGTTATCCGGCGAACGTGGAATGCGTGTGGCTAATCGAACCCCGTGCTGGGAATGCCCTCGAGCTGAACTTTGAGGCAATGGACCTTGTTGAATCGGATCATTGCAATGCAGACTTCTTAGAGGTGCGTGCCGGCTTACTGGATTCCATCCTGGGTCTGTACTGTGGCACGGAGTTGCCCGCTGCACCATTAATAGCCAGGGGACAGGTGTGGCTCAAGTTCCGCAGTCAGCCCGGTAGCAGTGCCAACGGATTCAAGCTGCGCTGGAATTATGGTAAGTGGGTGGAACCCCATATTGAAATCACATTTAAATCACATTTAATTCCGACACTGGTATGCAGTGCACGACCAGGAGTTGACGGAAGGTACCGATGGCATCATTGAATCGCCACCAACGCTGGCGGTTCGCGGTGATGATCAACCTTACAGCTGGCGTATCTTCATGGAGCGTACCCGAGTTCTGACTCTTGATTTCAAGTATTACAGCACAGGACTCCAGGTAAGCAGGCTCTATTACACCCGTAATTAAAGCTAGTAACTTCATCCTGGTACCTCTTGCAGCTTTTTGATGGCTTCGATGACAGTGCGCTGGCTATTAGCATACAACCCTCACCCTGGCTGTTTACCTCGAGCAGCAATGTGATCTACTTGAGGACTGTCAATACGGATTTCGATGCCTTCCGACTGCAGTGGCGTGTCCTGCACAGCGAATCTCTGGTACCAAATGTGACGCTAAAGAGCAAAGAATGCAACGAGGTCTACATAATGGACAATAGTCCGATAGCAATCAAATCACCTGGCTATCCGCAGGGCTACAAGCCGAACTTGAACTGTGAGTGGACCTTCAAGCCATCGAATCCCACACAACATGTCTTTGTACTACTCTATGATGTGCGGCTCGAGGTTATGGATCAGTGTTCAGTTGATTATCTAATCGTGCAGAGCTCTAACAATCTGGTCGATTGGCAGGAGCGGCTGCGCATGTGCAATAGTAGTGTCGATACGGGTCGTCCCATACAGCGAATAGATGGCACTCCAAATTTGCAGCTAAAGTTTGTCACAGACGCAACAGTCAATGGAACCGGCTTCAGATCTGTGGTGTCTACAGATTGTGGCTCCAACATGACCGGCTCCGTGGGCACCATTGTCGACTCATTCTTTATGCGGCGCCCAGATAGCCCTTGCGAATGGTCCATCGAGGTGCGACCCGGCAGAGTCATTGACTTTACCATTGAATACAATGGAGCACCACGTAATGCCAGTTGCTCGATCTATGGCTTAATTAATGATGGATTGGATGTTGGGGCGCCACTGCTGAAGCCGGGTAAGTTCTGCAATCAGTTGGGCTTCGCAACGACTAGCTTTCGCACGAGCGGACCGCATGCGCACATTAGGTACTTCATGGCTCCGAGCACGGGCATCGTGAATCCGCTACAAAACCAATGGAATCTCACGTACCGTGAGTTCAGTGAATGCGACGGTGAAGTGCGTCTAACCCACCTGGCGAGCAGCTATAACATCAGCACACCTGGCTATCCCTACTACCCGCATCCGCACACCGATTGCACCTGGGTGATCATTGCTCCACCCGGCGAAACAATTGCCGCCAACTTTGTGGATGACTTTGCCTTGAGTATGCGGTATTGCGATCAGGAATACGTTGAACTCTTCGATGGCTCCACAACGCTGGCACGCCGTTTGTTGCGCACTTGCGTCCGCCCGGGAACGACGCACAGCTCGGGTAGTCTACTCCTGGTGCACTATCAAACGCAACTGAATGAGCCGCAAGGCGGCTTCCGTTTGAGCGTGTCACTCAGCAGTTGCGGTGGACAGTATAACTCTGCCAGTGGCATCATTAAATCCGAGCATTACCCAGCTTTGGGTGCCTATTCCATGCCGGCTGTGTGCGAGTACATCATCAAGACCCCAATGGACACCCAAATCCAACTAAACTTTAGTGATCTGCATTTGCCGTTCGATGGCGCGGAGGAATCCATTGACCGCATTGAACTATTGGATCTGACGAATCAGCGCCAAATCCTTATTACACTATTCAGCAATGTGAGCGTACCCTATAATATCAAACTGGCCACAAATGAGTTGGCACTGCGCCTCGTCACGGTAAAGACGGTGCACAGCTATCGGGGATTCCAGCTGCAGTATATGGCAACGAAGACCTCCTGCTTCCGGGACGTGACAGCTGCGTCCGGCGACTTGGAAATATATAGAGAACAGGGCCAGATCAACAGGCTGAGAAATTGTCAATGGCGTATAACGGTGCCCAAAGGGCAACGAGTGCGTCTGGAACTACTTAATCTATCCGAGTTAATTGTTTCCAGAACTCCACGGTAAGTGAATTTTGTGGATTACAAAAAATGTATTTATATTAATGTCGTAAGAAAAGTGTATCCTATATTAGGAGGTCTTATTTTGGTCATGGTTTGGCAATGAGAAAGACGTTCGCTTTTTACAATGATCTCAACCAGCGTTCGAAGATAATCGACTTCGAATTGGGTGCATACAGTGGAAATGGGATCATAGAGTCGACGGATAACTTTATGTTGGCCCGGTTCATGCTGACTTCAGAAAATGTAATAGTCCCATTTCGAGCACGATTTAGCTCCAACCAATCCTCGCCATGTCCGCCGAATATTGGCAGCCAGGCGTCTGGCATCGTGTCCAACCAGGAGCTCATTGATCTGCCCACCTATTACTGTAATGTTCGCTTTATGGCCGAGCCCGGAGTGACGCTCAGCTTCCGAGTGGAGGGTCTGCTGACACCTCAGACAACTATCACATTTTATGATTATATGGGACCGACTTTTATATCAGTGAGAATGAGCAATTACACCGTCTCGATGGCCACCACCGCCGGTTACATAATGCTATTAGGTAGGCCTGGCGGGAGTCAACAGCGTTTCCGTATAACATACAATCGATACTCTTGTGGTGGGCAGCTGAGCCTCACGGAGGGCACCACCGTTGAGCTGCCTCCATTGAGCGAACACTTTGGCCCGTTGGAGTGCGTGTGGATGCTACAGGATAGCATTGGCTATGAACTGAGGGGGAATGTGAGCTTCAGCGATAGCTGCGACCGGGAGTATTTGACGCTAAGCACTGGGAGAAACCTGGCTGAAACTATGTTGGCTAGGATCTGTGGTGAGGCGACGGAGATGAACACCACACTCCTTCAAATGTCGAATACCAAACTAACCTATCATGCGACACAGTATCGGGGTGGCAGAAGTCAATTCCTGGTGCAGGCAAGCAGACCCAAATCCCTTGGCGGCTGGGGCAACATAATCGAGGTGGGAATGCAGCCAATACCGTCGATCGTCGTTGATGCGGGCAGCTATCGCAATAACATGGAGCTCGGCTGGGAATTTCGGGCTGGGAGTAGTATATCGCTGCGCGTGGTATTCCAGGGTAGATTCTTCATTGAGTTGTCGCCCAATTGCACCAACGATTATCTGCAGATCTTCACCTACGATCTACCAGTATGGAAACCGATTGCCAAATACTGCGGTCGAGAGCTCCCACAGCCGTTGCATGTACCGAGCAGCCAAATGCGCATTGTGTTCCGCACAAATGGGAATATCACAGGCGATGGCTTCACTTTTGTCGTTCGCTCTAGCTGCGATGCCAAGCTGCAGGCCAGCACAGAGGTGCAAAAATTTACCCACGCACCAAATGTTCGGGGCCGATGGCGGAGTGAGAACTGCACATTTGAGATTACCACCGATACCAAGCACCAGCTGCTGGTGAGTGTGAAGAGCAAAGGCAGGACATCCTGGTCCCAGTTGACCTGTGATTTGAACAACTTTGAGGCATATCGCCAAGTGGCCGACAAGGAGGAGCGCATTGGTAATTTCTGCCCGAACTTTGAGGTGAGTGGGTATGGACGCGTGCGCCTAAACTATATCCACAAGAACTCAATAAATCGACCCTTTGAGCTGCAATATCAACTGATTGGCTGCGGTGGCGATTATAGGGCACCATTTACGTTGCGTCCACCGATTGGCGAGACCGAAGGCAGCTATGCGATTGAAGAGACCTGTGAATGGCATGTGACGGCGCCGCCGCAGCATGCGATATTTTTGCGCTTCAAGTACTTTGATATTGAACGCACCGAGGACTGTCTCCACGACCAGGTGAGCATCTATCGCGGCACTTCATTGTGGATTAAGGAGCAGAGTGTCGCCTGCCTGTGCGGCAATCTCAGCGAGCCCACCGTCATGGTGGACAGCAATCAGGCTGTAATTTTTGCTAAATTGTCGGGCTTCATTAGTTCCGTGGGACGTGGCTTCCTTGCCACCGTGCACTTCACTCCGAACTGCAATGAGCGGTTGCGGTTTAGTGAGGGCAACACGCGGATGAGTTTGGTGCGTCAATATCAAGTCAATGGCACCAGCGACAACGATCTTCAATGCTATTTCCGAGCCATGGCATCGATGGGCTCTCGGCTTTCCGTGTGGCTAAAGCATCTGCAGTTGAATGCCAAACCATGCGAAAGGCTACCATGCAATTCACTGGAGGTGATCGATGGCTTTGATTTTGACAGTGTCAGCTTAGGCAAATACCATTCCGATATTGGCAACGGCACAAAACTCTACAGCTCGACATCGAATCTTCTGATTAAGCTGAGCGGATCTGTGGCCCAACCAAATGGCATCAGTTTTGAATTGATACTGGAAATGGAGTACACTGTCTGTGGACAATTGGATTATAACCTGGTCTCCAATGAGGTGAATACAATCTTTCACTTACATTACAATCCTGCATTCAATTTGTATTCTTTTTTTTAGACTGTCAATCTTCGCCTGAACTCGGATAACATATCCAAGAACTATGAGGGCAGCATCCATTGCCATTGGCACTTCACTGCAGATGACCAAATACAAATCCACATAAACTCTGTGCAGCTACAGGGTATCTCCCAATTGACTGGAAAATGCATTGATTATCTTCTAGTTAAACCAGAACTCGTTAGTTTCATATTAATGTGTTTGGCTTGTTCAAGTTAATAATATTACCATAATATTTTAGGAACATTCCAAGTATTATTGTGGTCAGTTTAATAATACCGTTTTGGATATACCAAGCGGCAACTTCGACATAACATTCCACAGCAATGGACAAGCGTCAATGTTTTGGTTGGATTTATCAATTAAGAAGAAAGCACGTAAGTTAATATCTCATAAGGACACTAAGAACATTTTAATATAATTATTAATTAAATTGCAATTGTAGTTAGTCAAACCTTTGTTGCTAAATTTTTAAAACCTGATATCTAATTAAACATTGATGATTATATTTTAGATTGTAATCGTACTTTCAACGCACTGAATGGCGGGATCCAGTTTTATACCATCGAAGCAGACGATCCTGATAATTGCGTAAATTATATAAGGGTTCCAGAAGGATACTCCTTGACATTAGAAATAATGTTTTTGCACTTCAAGTTCCACACAAATCAATTCTTTAATGTATGTATTATGCTATGTTGCCATGTCTACTCGAAAGCATTTCTGCAATATGCAAAATATATTTATAAATAGATGACGGACCTACGGACAAATCGTTCAGTTTATAGTGTGAGTGGCGACAATTTTATTTCGTTTGAAACCGTACACACCAACACAAATGCGATACGTCTATTGGGCGTGGGATTGAGATTTCTCCAATTGTTTTATTACGCGACAAGTAACACACTACCCGCGGGCTGTGGCGGCGACCTAACCGCTTTGGAGGGTCAATTTTCGAATCCTGCCTACGATAATCGTAACTACTCGGACTGCAGCTGGCGAATATCCGTACCAGCTGGCAATACACTGTATTTGACTTTCAGGAGTAAGCTATCCACATTATTTGCTTTATAATATAAACGATTATTTAAAACATCCCCTTATTTCTTTAGCATTTAATATGGGCTCAGAAAGCAATTGTCAACTCGATAATATCAAAATATACCAAATAATGCCCGACAACAGCGAAATATTGCGACATACCTTATGTGGATCGGATCCGCTGGAACCACTTCAGGCCAACTATAATCGGTTAAGGATAGACGCTAAGAAATCTCCAAACTTTGATGGAATTGGTTTTCAATTATCCTACAGTTCCACATATGAATGATTTCATTTGCTAAAAGAAATTATTATGTACAGCAAAGACCCTTATAGTATTCAATTCAATGTCTTGTGTTTAATCTTAATATCAGTTCTGCACTAAAATAAATATCAAGAATCGAAACGATTTTACAATTTCCTTTCAGATCTTAATTCAATAACTTAATCTTAATGTTTGCTTTTTTTTTTCTTGTGCTTGTCGCTCTTCTTAGACTTTTTCTTTGACTTCTGTTTAGATTTCTTGGACTTTTTGGAGCTGGCCTTCTTGTGTGACCTTTTGGCCTTTGATTTCTTTGCCTTGGCGTTGCTGCCGTCGCTGCTACTAGAGTCGATGCTATCCTCATCGCTATCATCACTACTGCTCATCATGCGTTCTACCCAATTCTCAGTTTTACGTTTACTGGGAGCATGCTGTTGCCACAACTGTTGCAGCTTGGCATCGATGCTGGCCTCGGCACAGCTCGCTGTTTTTTGCTTTGGCTGACTGATTGGTAACCGTGGTCCATAGAGTTGCTCGGCAGGCACTTCAGCCATGGCCAGTTCCTTGTCATTTCTCAGCCGCTCTTCGCGTGATTTGTACGCGATTTTTAATTTGTTGCCTTCGATTGGCGCAAACTTTGTTGGCGCCGTCTCTGCTGGCTTATCTTCTTGCTTCTCCGCTGGTTTAAACAGTGCCGCAAATATGCCACGTGGTGGCGAGGTATTGCGCAACACATTGGCAGCAGCCGCGGATGTGCCAGCGATGGGCAAACCGAGGGCAGCCTGCATAGCAGCCAATTTTTCATCAGCGGTCTGCTCCTCCTCAGCTGGTGCTGTATCCATCTGATCCTCGTCGTCGTCGTCGAATATGCTCTTGAAGAGATCAACCTTTTCCGAAATTGGTTTATTGCGCGCCGCATCCACAGCGTGCTCTAGTGGCGTTCTCGGTACAAAAGTAGGCTTGACCGCTGCCGCAGCCTGCTTCGGTTCTACAGACAAACCTGGTTGCTCCTTTATTTGCTGCTGCTCCTCCTCCTTATCAGGAGGAGGTGGCAGCGATGGCGTTAGTCGCTTCTGCTGCTTGGACACCTCTATGTGCTTGGGAATTATGCTGGGAGTTTGGAAATTTTCTTTGGTATTGATCGAAGTTTCCAAGTAATCGAATATAGACATTTTAGACTTGGCTTTTGGTTCCTTTTCGGCATCCGGTAGAGCACCACCAAAGGGTTCCGCAATATTGTAGCGCTTACACAGCAATGCGCTAGGTTTCCACATCGTCTTTGTGCGTTCCATAGCAATTTTACGTTGTTCCGCCGGCTGAACTGACACCTGCGCTTTCTGCGCCTGCACCGTCACCTCAGAGACGAATCTATCGAGCATAAGACCAGCCAGCGGTCTATATATTTTCGCGGCTTGTACAAATTCCTTTTTTTCCATTTCGCGATCCCACAGTGAAAGCGTCACCGGTTGCAAGTCGGCCAGAAATGCTGTGATCTCTGTGTCATCTTGCAGATTGGAGGCCAGAAACTTCTCATAGCGCAGCTGCTTAGCCTCATCAGCCAGGAAGGGCTTGAATCCGGTGGTGGGCGTGCTGGAAGCTGCAATAAAAAAACAAGCACTTAAAGATCTGCGTCATCAAATGTTTTTATTGTCTACATACCCAAGTTTTTGGTTTTGGCGGTAGCCTGCTCCAAAATCACCGAATTAGATTGCTGCAGCTCTTTGCTGAGTTCTGGCGGCGGCGTTGTTGTTGGCTGCTCCTCTCCAGTTGTGGTGATGAGGCCACCCTTTGTAAAGTTATTGCTCTTGGAGCTAATGAGCTCCAGTAAAGATTTGCCGCGTTCCTGTTGGCTACTGACACTCGTTCCCGTCTTGAACGGGTTCTTTTTCGCCTGTGACTCACCCAGCAGCTGAGCGCGCTGCTCCGGATTGAGATCGTGCCTGCCCAGGCCGGCTTTCTTATGCTCCGTTGTCGCGGCCAGTTTTCGTGCACGCTCCGCATCGAGGGGAGTAAAACGACTACGGCGCAGCAACCAATTGCGTGGTTGAAAGTCACGGGGCAAATCGATAGCAAATGGTTTGGTGTGGGTGGTATTGCGCTTGTCTTCGCAGAAGCCATCAATGACATGGCGTTGCTGGACGTGTTGAGTCTTCTTCTGCTTCGGCTGTTTGTCGGCCAGCGAGAAGTCGTAGCGCGTCATGTCGTCCCTGGCATAGATGTCGTCGTCTTCCTCCTCGAAGGCACCCACGCCAAATGCTTGGCCGCGTATAGACAACTGTTTCTGCTTGGCCGCCATCTCCAGTTGGCCAAAGAGATTAATATGTTGCATTGGCGCTCCACTTATGTCGCTGGCCTTGGACAGCACTGGGGCACGACTCAGTCCAGAGTAGCTCATGCCAAAGCGATTGTCTTTGGGTGTATAAAATGCAGGTTCATAATCATCAGGAGCAAAGGTTATTTCTTCATCCTCTTCTTCGTTTTCCTCGTTCTCGTCGTCATCACACTCAGAGTTTCTTGATTTATCATTGTTGGGCAATCCTTCGGCCCCGTAGTGCTCCAGCAGATACTTTTCCCTCTGATTGCGAGTGGTTGCCAGGCGCTTTTCCTTACGCGTTTGCCGTGGACCCACACCCTGGCCGGGCTTCCAGCCCATGCTTTTCAGTATGCGCACGGCAACCTTATCGCGTACGGGACGCAACAGTTGCTCAAGCACAGGCACTCCAGGTATTGGCCCAGTGACTTCTGGCTGCATTAGTTTGCGTTTACGCTGACCGGTGCGCTGTTCCTGCTCGCTCTCTTTGGCGAATTCATCGCGCGTCCGTATGCCCTGTGGAGCAATGCCAAATTCGCCCAGATCTTCCTTGTCCATGAAGTCTTCTGGGCGTTGTTGCACTTTGCTGGCCTTTTCGCCGCGCGAGCTCTTGAAATTCTGTGGTGTCCAGCCCTCCAGTGAGCCGACTGTGTTCCAAAAACCGGCGCTAAAGCCGCCGGTGAATGCACCATGAAATCGCCGCTTACCATTTTCATCCTTCACAATTTGATCCTCAATCATCAACGGCTTCTTGGCGGGCACCTCATCTGTAAAAGTTCATCATTTGTGTGTGCTTCTCTTAGTATCGACATACTTACCCTTTTCGAGCGGTTCTAAGGGAGTGCCGAAGCGGTGCAGATACTCCTCCTCATCCATTATTGGAATATATAAGTGACCTTTTAAGAAATTACCAATTTGCGCACAATTTTCGCTTCCTCCACCTTTGCGCTCAGCTGGCTGAATAAACGTAAACAAAGTGGGAACGTTGCCAGACAGTTAACATTTTTGCGATGCTTATATCGAAATATCGCTTGTCTGAATCATTGATTATATTGATGCGATATTTTATGTATCAATATATCGATATTGTGGCAAGTCACATCTCTACCTCACAGCTGTTTATGTCAGAAAATTGGCAAACTTCGAATTTATTTACGAGATTTTCTTTGCAAATAGCACAAAGCATTTGCATTTGCTGCCAGATTGTAAGTATTGTTGCATTGTGTCTAATACAAGTGCGTAGTGCTTGCATTAAATGGCTCACTTAACCGTCCGGCAGTTGTATGTGCGTGTATTGGTGACTAATGATGTCAACATTTTTCGTTTTCTCTTTTCCCTTTGCACATCAGCTAGCTGGTGTTGGCCATTTTTGAAAGCTGGACGTGACTGCAGCAGGTGCAAAGAGAAGAATCAGACGTAAGTTTTCCAATTTGTTCTCAACTGAAAATGTGAATTTAATTGTAATGCGTATTCTTTTTGCACACACAAACACACTCAATCCAAACACTCAACAACATGCAACGCCATCTGTCGGCAGTTTCATAACGCACACAAGCACAAACCTGGCCGAAACGTCGTCATCGTCATGTCGGAGAAGAACATAAAAGTGGGCGCCCGGGTCGAATTGACCGGTAAGGAGCTGTTCGGCACGATCGCCTACGTTGGCATGACCAGCTTTGCCGTTGGCAAGTGGGTGGGCGTGGTGCTGGACGAGCCGAAGGGCAAAAATAGTGGCTCCATTAAGGGTCACCAATACTTTCAGTGTGACGAGAATTGCGGCATGTTCGTGCGGCCGACACAGCTGCGAGTAATAACTCCAGCTCCTGGCGATTCGGTCGGTGCATCGGGCAGCGCCACGCCTACAGTCCAACCCACAAAGGCACGGCTTAGCAGTTCACGCAACTCACTTTCATCCAGTCGCCAGTCATTGCTAGGCTCACGCACACAGCTAACAACATCGTTGAGCGAGCGTACTGGATCCAGCAGCAGCTTGGCCGCACGCAAATCGCTGGCACCGCAGAGTAGCAAGGATAAGGTTGCCTCCAGCACTGGCTCACTGGCTGTTGAAGGTGGTCCGGGCGTAGCATCGGCTATCGGATCTAAGCGTGCATCGTTCGTGGAAACTGGCTTCCTTGAGATACTGAAGCCGCAGTTTACGCCATCGCAGCCGATGCGTTCGCCTTCATTTACAACGCCGCCAACCGGTACGTCGACGACAGATGACAAAGTCGCATTGCTGGAGGCGCAAAAGACGAGCGCCGAGCTGCAGACGCAGCTGGCGGATGCTACCGAAAAACTGGAGACGCTCAAGCAACGTCGCAACGAAGACAAAGAGCGTCTGCGTGAATTCGATAAAATGAAAATCCAATTCGAGCAGCAGCAAGAGTTTCGGACCAAAATCATGGCTTCCCAGGCCATTATGAAAAAGGAGCTGCAACGTGCCAAGCAGGAGGCAAAGGACGCCATCGAGGCCAAGGAGCAGCACGCCCAGGAAATGGCGGAACTCTCCGACAACGTTGAAATGATTACGCTCGACAAGGAAATGGCCGAGGAAAAGGCCGACACACTACAATTGGAATTGGAGTCGAGCAAAGAGCGCATCGAAGAGCTGCAAGTGGATCTTGATCTGCTCCGTTCCGAAATGCAAAACAAGGCCGAGTCCAACATCCCTGCCGCCGATGGCGGCATGTCCACCTACGAGTTCAAGCAGCTTGAGCAGCAAAACATACGCCTCAAGGAGACGCTGGTGCGTCTACGAGATCTGACCGCACACGACAAACATGACATACAAAAGCTAACCAAGGAGCTGGAAATGAAACGCTCCGAGGTTGCTGAACTGGAACGCACCAAGGAGAAACTCAGCTCCAAAATTGATGAACTGGAGGCCACAGTCGCCGACTTGCAGGTGAGCATGAAATGCGATAATTTTTTCAGTTCCATCAGGCCTGTTCCCAATCCCTCGCAATTCCGTTTCAAGTCCATTCACAACATATAATTAGTTAAAGCTTTGAACGATCAGAACTTGGAGTGCATAATTTTCTAAGACACCTTTGAATATTTATTTTTATTTAGTTCATTTTAACAGCTGAATATCAAAAGATCTCTTTCAAACTCATAACAAAAGTATATTAAAATCATCTTATTTCTTTGGAGATATTTGAGTTATTTTCGAGATAGAAGCACCTCTGCAATGGAATCGTTAATATTTTTGAAAGATCACCCTACAATCCCAAATTAAGGTTGTGGCAATGGAAACGGGCCTGAATATATGTCTATTTATCTATTAACTATATGCTTGTAATTATGCAAAGACATGCTCACAAGAAGGCTTTTAGCTGAGAATTAAAATGTATCCTTTTAAACACTTCCGCTTTTCAATGTTTTATTGTTGGCTCTCTTTTTGTATCACACACTGCTTGTTTGGCTTTCAATAATAAAAATTTGCTATTCTTTCGCTTCCAACTCTAAATAAATATAAAATTTTCATTTCGTTTCTTTTTGCCGGCCTACAAATATAAAATAATATATAAAATGGTTTGTCAGGAGGTAAATTCAAATTGTACAAGTTCATCTTCATTTCCATGTTTCCTTACTCTCAAGTTTAGCCAACATTTTCATTAACGCTAACCCATTAAAAACACTTCAAGTCAAAGAAACTCTGTCAAACGAAAATGTTGTTACCTCCCTTCTCAAGGAACAAGTGGATGCTGCACTGGGCGCCGAGGAGATGGTCGAACAACTGGCCGAAAAGAAAATGGAGCTGGAGGACAAAGTGAAGCTGCTGGAGGAGGAAATATCACAGCTCGAAGCGCTCGAGGAAGTGCACGAACAGCTTGTGGAGAGCAATCATGAACTAGAGTTGGATTTGCGCGAGGAACTCGATCTGGCGAACGGAGCCAAGAAGGAGATGCTTCGCGAACGTGACGCTGCCATTGAGACAATATACGATCGCGACCAGACCATCACGAAGTTCCGTGAGCTCGTCCAAAAGCTGAACGAACAGCTAATCGAGCTGCGCGAGCGCAGCTCCAATAATGACCTGAAATCTCTACAGGATCCCAGCCTCAAGCTGGCCACCGAGACGATCGACTACAAGCAAATGTTCGCTGAATCGAAGGCCTACACACGCGCCATCGATGTCCAGCTGCGCCAGATTGAGCTGAGCCAGGCCAACGAGCATGTCCACATGCTGACTGCCTTCATGCCCGAATCGTTTATGAATCGTGGCGGTGATCATGACTCCATCCTGGTCGTACTGCTCATCTCGCGCATTGTCTTCAAGTGTGGCATTATTGTCTCTCAGACACGCGAACGCTTCCCCGCCGTCGAGTTGGTCACCCGCGAGGCGGTCACCCAGGGTCATGCGGTGCAGCAGTATACATTCAAGTGCCGTTTGATGCATTATGTCCACAATCTACAGTGTGCGCTGCATCAGATCCTTTATGGCCTGAACAGCTGTCAACCGGATACGTTGCTGCGTGCTGGCAGCTCACTGCCAGAGATGGTGGCACAGGAGAAGATCGTCGATGGCATTATTGAGCTGTTGAAATCCAATCAACTGGACGAGAACAGCACCACGGACAACATTGAGAAGTGTGTGGCGTTCTTCAATGCAATGAATTCGGTGCTGCTGGCCGGCGAGCAACTGCTGAACGAGACGCAAATGATACGCGATTGTGTTGCCTCGTTGGGTGCTGCGTGCGAGTCCATATTGAATGACACTGCCATTGCCAAGGTGATTATACAGGAGGCGGGCGCCACCAGTGATTCAATGCTGCTCATCCAGTTCCTCAATGAGCACATGGAGAGCATCAAGCAGCAGGTGAAGCTGATCAAGCGTCGTCTGCCCAACGATCAGCATGTGATCAAGTGCGGCCTTTCGCCCCACAAAATGGATGCGATGCGTGCGCTTGCGCAGCACATCAGTCGCATCATGTCCGCCATGCATTTGGCCACCAAACAGGCGCTGGCTGCCATTGTGGCCAATATTGAGAGCGATAATGCGGCGGAGCATACGCTGCCCCAGGACAAATTCTGGTCGCTATTGTCGGCGGCCTGCGAGCGCATCTACGAGCAGGATGATCGCGGTCCGACGCAAAACTTCAAGGCATTATTGGGTCAGGCCAATACGGATTTGCAGCACATTGCACAGCATCTGTTGGACAAGGAGTATGAGATTATGTCGGCGGCGGGTGCAGCTCCACGAGCGCCATCACTGAATACGCCGATCAATCAGCGGGCGCAGCTGATAAAGAAACAGCTGGAGCAGAAGAATGTGCTCGCCGCAACGCTGGAGAATCGGGAGGCGGACATTAAACAGCTCAAACTGGCGGCCAAAATGAAACTGAATGAGCTGAGCGAAATGCAAATACGCAAAGATCTCGCCGAGAAAAAACTGAGCGTGCTCCAGGATGAGTACGAGCATGCGGTTGGCAAATGGAAGCTACAGTACGAAGAGACGCACAAGAAGCTGCAGCTAAAGGAGAAGGAATTCGAGGAGACCATGGATCATCTGCAGAGCGACATCGATGCGCTCGAGAGCGAGAAGAGCGATCTGCGCGACAAACTCAAGCTGAACACCAGCGGTGTCAAGAGTCAAACATCCGATTCGCACTCCTCCCTGCACAATCTCTCGGCAACTGGCACAGGCAGTGCCAATGTTAGCTACACGGCGCCTGCCGGCACTGCTCCTTTGGTTGCCGAGGAGCTGCAGCTGCTCAAGTGTGCTTTCAACAATGAGCGCAACGAGCGGTTGCGCCTGCAGGCACAGGATATGCGCGCCAAGCTGCAACAATTTGAGCCAATCTACGTGCCACAGCCACAGGATCAGCGCATCTGTGCCCTCGAGTCGCAGCTGACCAAAATGAAGCATGCCTGGGTGCTATCACTGCTGCAGGTGCAGGCCAAATCGAGTGATGTCAATGTCAACACGGTGGCAATGCAGCGACGCAATCAGCCGTTGCCCCAAAAGGCAGAGATCTGCACGCGTGCATCACGCCTCGCCTCGGACATATTGACGGAGTATCTGCAGCGAAAGCCGCATCGTGCAGCAACTGGCGAGTTTGCTGCCTTTCCCACCGTTGATGTGAAGCGAGTGCTGCAGATTTAACGTGGATCGTTGGGCGGGGCAATAACTAGGCTAGATTATTATTTATATGGCTAGCACAAAGGTTCTTTTCTTTAGAAAGGGAAGAAGGTTTTCCAAATGGTTTGGTTTCATTGCAATCATTTGGAATAGAACATACTTATGCTTCTCTGGATAATCAGCTTAACCCAATCCTCATCCTAACACTAACACCTACTAATCATCTATCTTTTGCTGGTCCTCCTTCCTCAGTATATACCCTTTATGCTGACCGCTACATTGCTGCCGGTAATTGTGTATGGCCTTTGGCTGTGTTTTCCCAACGGCGCCCGATTTCTGTGGAACATGGAATGTCCCCTTGGTTGGCTTCATTCAATGCTTTAGATGCGTGTAGTTCTTTTTATATATACATATATTTTTAAATATTTAATTTTTGTCTGTATAATAATAATGTATGTGAAAACTATGTAACTGTGTATCTCTAACAAGGCCTGTAATGAAATCAACTCAAGCGAACATTTTTTGATACATTATCTATCTATGAAGCGAGAATGATGTGAATAAAAGACACTCAAAAATACCACTTTATATTTAACAAAACAAGAGCAAATAAAATTTGCAAATGAGAATATGCATAAACATATATATTGATTAATAAACAAGTATATTTTCCAAATGTTGCTTAACAAATAAAGAGTCTATTGAATTGCAGACAAAATTAATATAAAAAGGTAGAGAATTCAATTTTTTCATATTTGTATATATTTCGTAGTCGAATGAATATATCTTATAATCATTTACGCTGATTCCTCCTAGCACCACAAGTAAGTTTACTTATAAGTAATTTTTTGATAGTGAGATAAATGACTTAAAGGAACTTGAATTGATAGCAAAGGCGGCATTAAATTGCATTCCACACTTGCCATCCACATTATTCGATTGGTGCTCTTAAGTTCCATCAACAGGTCGCGAGAGAAAAAAAGAGCACTTTGTGCTCTCATTTTATTTGTGGCTGCCTCGCTCTTGCCCAACAAACAGCAACAACAACAACAAAAACAGTAGCGCTCAATGCCGCTTGATTACAAGAAGAAGAAGAAGAACAACAACAACAACAGCAGCAGAAGCAGCAGCAGGCAAAATTATAATGACAATAACAGCTGCAGCAATGGTAGAAACTATTACACTAGCCCGACCATTAAACCATGATGGTCACAAAAAATAGAAGAACCGCCCCTCTGCCCCTCAGTCCATATCAGGGAGCATTGGAAATTGTAAACAATTTTCTGCTTCTTCATCTTGATTGCACTTTTATTGCTCCCAGCCTGACCTAAGCCCGAGCCTTTGAGCTGACCTTATTTTAGCCCCTGAATGCAATTGCATTTGAAATTTTTTCCCTCTTGCCCATGCGGAAGTCATTGGCCCGATCTGAGCCGGAACGGTAGTATATTGAATATGCGTTGGGTTCTATACAGTTATTTTAGTTGTTTTATAGTCTCAGTTTTATAGAGTGGCTTTGTCGGTTTAGGCTGGGCCTGTTTTTATTACAACTGGCCACCGTCAATTCTCAATTCTCACGCCCAGCTCTCTGACCTTTTTACGGTATTTTTCTAGTTTAGATTTGGGTTTTGTTATTGTTTACACCGCCAGTGTGTATGTTTTGTAATATGCTGGCAAAGTTGCCCGGTTTTCTGGGTTAAGAGCACAGAATTGTTGGTAATCAGAATGCTGCACATTATGAAATTGAAATTTAAATTGAAATGTATCTGTAGACGTAGCTGCAACCGATTTGCTCTGCTTGCCGCGTCCGCGAAAAGTGACTGTGTGAGACTGAGATCCTTAACTGTCACTGACACACATATCCAATAACCAACGGACGATTGACCCAAGCCAGTTCTCTTGTCATTGGCTTACAAATCGCGGTGCATTGCGAAAGCCAAAATGAAAACAAAACAAAACAAAACAGCAAAAACCATTGCTCATAAAGCACTGCTTGATAATGCCCCCCGACTCCACTCCACCCCTGCTTAAAGCTGTTGACTCATGCCAAGTGCTAAAAACAACATAATTATGGTATTATAAGCCATGTCAAAACAATTGCACGGGGTATCCCAGCCGGTTCTGTACCCTATAAATATTATTTGGATTGATAATAGTACTTAGTTCATACCTTAACATTTTATATACATATATGTATTAAAACTATTTTGCTATTTTTGCTGTATTCTATCCATCTTTGAATGCTAGTCAATATAACATCATGCCATTTATCACCTTAGCGTACAGGGTGTCACAAAAATTAATTAAACAACGAGCAAAATCAAGACCGAAACCAGTTTGGGAGCCATCCAAAGAGAAGTAGAGGGACTGAGGGAGGATGGAGAACGGAGGTTACGGCAGCAAGATGAAGCAGCTCAAGAACATGCATCGTTACAGATGACTGAAGAACGCACAAACTCCATGCCAAGATGCCCTATAAATGTTGGCCATCAGCCAAAAGCAAAAAGACAGACACACTGAAAGATCACCAACGGAAGCGCGGAAGTTTTACTCTTTAAAAAAAAGCAAAAAATATATATATATATATATGTACATACATATATTCTGTGCATTCTGTGGACTGAGTTAGTTCCGCCTGGTTACTTACGAAGCTTCATGTGGATGGGCAGAAGGCTCAATTTGGTAAATGACCAAACAGTAGCCATCAACAATCAACAGACGCCCAAAACATAAACAAAAGACCACGCAATGTGCATGGATGCCACATACATACACAGAAATATACATAGCTAATGGGTTGCGGAGATGTCTATCCGGAGTCTCGAGTCCGACACTTTTAGAACAATGTGGCAAGCTCAAGAGACGAGCTTGAATCGTCTTCACTTGAGGCGCTCATTGTGCATGTTATGTGGCATGGCAATGGGGATGCAAAAAGGGGGGCTTGAGATTTGTTTAATACCACGCACTAGGCCCTCTGCTTATGTCGGTGCCCCTTTGTTATTGCCCGGTTTGAGCTGTTGTCTATGTATGTGGCTCATTGTTGTTGTTTTGGTCTGGCCTGGCCTGGCGTCGTATGTAAATTTGAATTTCATTGAAATATTCGCTGGGTCGCTGTTCGCTTAGGCATACAGATCCCCCAACCCCCACCCAACCCCTCTCAATCTCGCCCTCATCTCCCTCTCTTTGTCATGCGTTGCATTGTAGTTCATTTAAACGCTTTCGTAAGTCAGTCACAAAAGGGTTAAGAGAGAGCGAGGGAGAGAGTGCATTATAACAGATGTCAGTTAAGAGAGAAAGAGAGAGAGAGAGCGCATTCAGGTGTCGCTTATAACTGGTTAGCTTTGATGTGGAATTCTGCTCAATAGGATTGCCACACAATTGGAATATTTTGTGAAGAATTTAAAAATTGTATAAATTTGCAGAAATATGTGTGGGCATATATTCTTAAATGAAAATCATTCTGCATATATAAGACATATGACAGTCAATAAATATTTTCAAATATATACTACACTATAGTACACTAGACACTAGAATCTAAGTCTACATTATTTACAATAATTGCTCTACACTGAATATAGTTCTTTATAACATGGATTCCAATATTTATCATTCTAAAAGTAAACCAAAATAAGTACGTAATAAATCATTAATAACAATTCTAATGCAAATGATAATAAACCATGAAGGCGTTATCGCTCTTTGAAACGGGTCATAATATCAATTACAATAAATTGCATTTCTTATCTAATCTATTACATAGCACACTTGCTCTCATATCTGAGCAACCTTCGTAGAAATTGCCTTTATCTAAGTTGTTTACCCATATTACCGCTGCAATTTGAGAGCGCTCGACAACCCTAAAACTCACTCTCTCTCTCTCTCTCTCTCTCTCTCTCTCTCTCTCTCTCTCTCTCTCTCTCTCTCTCTCTCTGACTCTATCTCTTTCTCTTAAGCACACACTCTCTTATTTGACTCTTTGCAAAGTAGTCGCCGCTTTGGCCATTTGTTTAGTTGTTGTTGCCAAGCTACCAAGTTGGCTTGGTTACTCATTTGTTTTGCCAATTTTTGTAACGTTTGCGGCCAGTTTCAGTTAGTACCGAGCACTCGCGCCTTTCAGACGTTGTGCGAACCTACAGCGGAGTATCGAAAACAATAACAACAATAACACAGATATCAAGAGAAAAACCCAAAAGCGAACTCCAAAAACCGTCGCGTTTCTCGGCATCGCCATCGCCATCGGATTTGGAATCGGAAGTTCTTTTAGCTTGCCGTCGTCGTCGACGTTGTCGTCTTCGTGACCGAGGTTTCTGTCTGCTATGATATAGCTATATATATTTATATAAATACAACTATAGTTAGTTTGCTTATTGCGAAAGTGGAAAGTATCTCACAGATACCATCCGAATTGAGAGCTAAATGCATGCAAAGCGCACGTTTATTTTGTTGTTTTGTCAATAAAATCTAAAGAGAACCAGACAAATATACATATATATAGTAATATACCCAGTAATATACCTATATATGTGACTGTGACATAAATAACGGAAGTGCTCAACAATATAGTCAATCACAGCTATATCAACAACTGTTTACATTGTGTCTCTCTCTCTCTTTCTCTCTCTCTCTGTCTATGTGTATATGTGTGTGAGTGTGTGTGTATGTGTGTGTTGCTAACCAACAATGAAATAAATTTAATGTTGGCCAAAAACGAACGCATTAAGCGCATTATATATTGGCTTAAACAACAATAACAGCTGCTGCCACCAAATGCAGCAAAGCGTGAAGTGCTTGCCAAATGAATTTTCTATACAATAAATAAATTAGAAATTTGCACTAAAAAAAAAAACTGAATAATAAAAAACCTCAATCCGAACTTGGCGCGCTGAAACGTTGGCTACACTAGGTTTCTAGGCAATATCTCGGGGAGTTAAGGCCAACAACAAGTTCTTAACACTTCATAGGTTTTGCGTGTTTGCTCAATTGACGTGGAAACTTTAGTAGTGATCAATGCTATGTTTTCTTTAGCAAAACTCTCTTACATTAAACACAGCTGCTGCTCCAAAGTTGTGTTCGTAAACTGACTTAAAACAAAATTTAATTGGTTAACTTAACAAGTATGCGCTTCCTCCCCCATTAATAACATTAAGTCCACGTAACTCATAAACTAAAAGTATTTAACACATTTCGTCACGTAAATCAATTAAAAATTGTGAAGCTCAGCTCTAAAGAGTTGCAGGAAGAAAATTATATTAAGAAATCGCATTTAGTCATAGCTTTTGAAAGGGGCTATAAGGAAAATGCAAGTTTTAAATTAAATTTGATGACAAACTTTAAATTTTCACTTGCACTTGTAATATATTCTTGCACATAATTTCGTAAAGTAACCAAAATGCAGTTTTAACCCTCATGTGGCCAAACATTAACCTTATCGCATGCAGCTTAACTAAACGTTCATTTTACATCAAGTTAACAACAACATAAAAATAAGCAGGAAAATAGTAGTTATATGTCATCACCATCGTGTACATAAGCATATACTGACTAAATCAACCCCGACAACCCTTCCCTGTAATCGAAGACGTGCCAGTAAATGTGCAACGTGACCGGCGCTCCTTTTTTTGGTTCGGTTAGCTCAGTTTACGTGCTCGCTTTTGGGGCAGCACTCTTGTATATACTATTAGATTACCACATGGCATGCTACCGATTCGAGTCTAATTCTCATTATTGCTACTTACTTACCATCTTACATTTACTACCTTACTACCTACTTACTTATCAAAACAACAGTTAAATCGTCGTGCGGGTGTTTGGCCTCTCATTCGAAACGCATGTTGAGCTGCTCTTTGGGCAGCAGATACCTATGGAAGAAACATCATGTGGCTTGTGCCTGTCATCCCCGTGGCACAACTTCAACAAGAACAACATAATCAGCGACTACAAAAACAGCAACAGCAGCAACAACAACAGCGAATACAACGCGTTGTGTTGTGTCTGAAAACCTAACATAAAATAAAATAAAATAATAATCTGCCGCTAACAAAATAAACCGCTAATCGCTCGCTCGATCGCCTTCATCTATAATAAGCAAAAATAAATATATCGCTTTGTGTTATGTTTGTGTGTTTTTTATTTGTTGTTTGTAATACCACCCAACCACCACCTGTCCGCCGCTAACGATCATGCATAGACCAAAGCTAGCGAATCCTATAACTGCTGCCGGTATTGCCTCATCCATATCATACAACAACAACAACAACAACTACAGCAGCAACAACAGCAATAAATCAAAACGCGCACGTCAATTCAGCAAGCCAACTGCAGCAGCAACTAACGAATCTACGTTGAATTCGTCATCGCAACTCTACGAAAATCATTCGCACTCCTCACTAATTGACGCTTCAATTGATTTAGAAGATTACATCAGCGCCATGGAGGCACGACGCAACGAAAACGAGCCAGATGTGTGGGCTCAATTGCAGCAGAAGGAATCGGATATATTACTAGCAGCTGAGCTTGGCAAAGCGTTGCTGGAAAAGAACGAGGAGCTCGTCAAGCAACAGGAGAAACTCATCGAGGATTACTCTGGCAAAATTGAGGTGAGTCTGCAGTTGATAAACATTCATATAAAATCTGAGTGCTGATTCGCAATTCAAATTGGCGCGTTGATTGATCCTTCGATTAGTCATTGCGAGCTTTTATTTGATCGATAGCCCAGTGTTGATGGTAATCATAAATTGATCGCAGCAATCGGAAGCTTATTTGCTATCGATTTCAGTTTCGATAAGCTGACAGGCTGATCGATTCGATTCTTTTGAATTAAGCCAAGTGCAAGCTTTTCTGCTCTCACCCATACCTTAAGCTGACTCATCCATTGATTTTCATTGATTTTCTTATTAGCTGATGTGAGTTTACACACAGGTGGCTTCAATTCCCAAATGCATAATTTAGTGCGTATCGATTTTACTTTATATACCTGGTCCACTGGCCAATTGCAGCCATATACATTTTATCAAATGCACTGGCATACGAGACAATCTATTAAATATTAAAACACACGTACATGTCACCCATTGAATATGTACATACATTATACATATATATCTCCCAAATGGATGGTCAACAAAGTGTTTGACTGTCATGTCACAATGAATTCACGACAAATGTGCGCAGTAAACTACAGAACTACATATGTAAGTAAATCGAGACATGTACTCGTATATAAGAGTACTATCTATGTACATATATTGCCTGCACGAAATGTTATCGATTTTTCATGCTCGTCGACTTTGCATTTGTTGCATGCAACTGTATATAAATACAATGCATCTTTACCGTTCTTCGGTTCTGCTTTATCAGCACAACACGCGCTTAGCCGAACGCCTGATAACGTCAATTCAAAGACAATGGCAAGAGAACAGCCGCAAGTTTGTTTATCTTTATCCAATGTCTGCCTGTACGCAGTGTGCGACCTTGAACCACAGTGGGTGTTTTTGTTGTCTATGTCAGCACCTGTTTACACACAAAAGCACACACACGCCCAACTGTCGATATGTAATATCCTCTAGTTAATTTCGAAAACTAATGCTCCGATTGCGCCTCAACTGAAGTCGAACGACAACGTTCTGGTTCAAGGCATTTTAATACGACCGGCTCAAGTTCGTGGCCATTCATTAGCATATTACTTGCTGCGTACTTTACCCAGAACTACTACGCTTTTTACCCATACCACTCATCGCACTGATAGTTCGACTAATGGCAATGTTCTTTCCATCTTATCAATAATATTGACTTTTCGTCGCATTCGTCATGTTAATGCCAATCAAACGACTCGTACTCCCATGAAATAGTTGGTAAATTACTCTATTATAGGAAGTGTAGTGCCCTTTCAGTGTCAGTAACCCAGACAGAGGACAGAATAACACGTTGAACTTGAATTTTCGATGCGTAGAAAGGCTTTTGGGACGTTTTACGTGTTGGTTTAGTCATGCAAGGAGATATTATTGTTGTTGTGTTTATGATGGCGTTTTTAAAAGTGTGGCATGACTTCATCATCTTCATTTCGAAAGTAGAAATTATGAAGGCCACCCAAGGGAACTGACCCGTTATGTCAGCTCTTGTTAAGGACAATTCATTCTCTGTAGTAATTCAGTTCCCATGTCTACGGATGACCTATTCATAATTATCGATCATAATCGATTGTCTTTTGCACGATTAAGAAAAAAAAACACCTAGGGAGCATTCATTGCTCATTAAATGATTGCGCCCATCCAAATGAAACCGAAACAGTTATTCCCATGTTCCAATTTTCATTAAACGAAAAGCAATTCGCTTCATGCTTTTGCTCCGGCCCCAATGAAATTGGTTAAGCCGCAAAGGTCAACTGCTGCGCTATTGAATAGTTCAATTTGTCACTGGGCCGCGCTACGACTACGAATACCCAGAATATTTCAATTAATTTGCTAATCCTACTATCTGCAGGAGCTGTGGCATGTGGATACCGCATAAATCTCTCGCTTTATTCGTTACCTTGGCATCTCACTCAAGCTTAGGTTAAAAGTCTCTCACTTTGAGGTTTATCGTTTAGCAAGTGACGTTTGGACTTCGCTTCTAGTTTTGCGTGTTTTTCGCACATGCAAATACTCTGAAAATGGTGTCTAATTAATTTCAAGCCTCTCATAGGTTTTTTGTTTGGACTGGTCGCTGATGCGTCATATTTACAATGCCATTTGCTTGGTGTTGTTGTTAGTTGCTGGTCATTTTAGTTGATTTCCAGGCCCCGCATATACTATAGTATTATTATGATAGTTTGTTCAGCTATGGCTTTGACTGACGTAATTAGACTGGGGACTGGTCCGTTGTAGGTGTTGGTTGTTTTGTGGTTCGTGGTTCGGTATTCGAGTCATCAAGCACGCCTTTTTTTGCGTTTGCGGTCTGTTGAAGCGTGTGTGCCAATTTACGAGCATGGGCTTTTATTTTTAGCTGGTTTTCTTCTTATTTCGCTAGCATTTGTAATACAAATAATATTAATGGCATTGCCCAATTCTAATATGTAAATGTAATATTTTTATGGTCAACAGCAGCTTTATACATAAATCCATTGCAGTTGCTCAATACTGCCATAATTTGTAAATAAATACAGAAAATATGTTATAATCTTCTAGCGTAGATATTTTCGATAGCTATCAGAAGTTCAAAGGCATTCTCACACATTCTTCTATTTGTGTTTTCCACATTCTCTCACGTATAACTTTAATATTTATTACCATTTATAGGTATCGCAACACGGTTAGTTTCATCTGGCTCACAGACAATATATTGGCCGAAATAAACTGCTACACATTGCCATTGTCTGTAAAACGTGTTTCTACGCCCAACTGGCTGACCAAGTTATTATGTTTGTTTGTTGTATGTATTTTTAAATAAACCTGCTTAGCAGAACAATTGTCGATTGGTCTATCAATTGAAGTTGCAGCTTAGTTCAGGTCTGGCGTTTATCACGAGTTACAGACAATTGGCCGTTTCACAACAAATACAAAAATGAAATGAGTTTGAGTCTCTGAAATATTTGCCCCTACTCGAAACTATTTACCGCTCGATGTGTTTGTCATTTTTGGAACTGTATAAAAAGTTTTGTGTAGGTGTGCGATACACTTCACATTTATATACTATATAAATGATACAACTTGTTGTGGCTACCCCTGGCCTTTTCGAAAGTTATATATGTATATATACACGTCCGTCTCCGAGCGAGTTCGCATTTGTTTTGTTTTCAGCAACCAGTTTTTCTAATTTATTAACGTGTCCATTGAAATAGAATGGCAATTTCCATTTGCTGCCATTTGTTCTTACGATAAAAAAAAAACTAAAAACTTTATAATCAAAGCAAATGCACTTTGATTAGCCTTGATTACAACCGGATGCAGTTAGATGCAGAAACTAGCAGTGGAAGTGAAGAAAACAATAGATAACTTAATTAGCGGAAATCTTTGAGATTCTTAACATTACTTCAGTTGACAGCCCCATCTATTGACAACTCTCATTCAATCATTTTACCGTTGACCATCCAAAATAATAACACAAATCGTCTATTCACGCCTTTTAATGATGCTTTTCCGCCTTTCGCCCACGAATAACTGACTCAGTTGCTGACCGTATTAAGTGCTCCTCAGATCTCACAAGAACAAAAAACTCGCTTCTTGCGGACAAAGGCAGCCCACACAGAGATACACACATATATTCATATATATCTAAACTACTTTTATAGATAACAAGAAAAGATATTCTGAGTGCAAGTTGCTCAACATGTTTTTTTTTACAATTCAATGTTTTAACCAAAATTGAAACACGAAACACGACGCACGTACTTTGAGGTGAAGTCATCAACAAATCGTCGCTGCCTGTTGTCCGCTGTCCGACAATTTATCGACAAAATTTTGCAAAGAAACAAAAACAAAAGCAGAGTAGCAAAATTTCAAAATTAACTCATTTGCATGTGAGTGAGCGTGTTGGTGAAAACCAGTTTTGAAAATGTATTTTGTTTTTGTTTTTAATTTATTTATACATACGAGTTTGGTTTGTTGTTGTTCTTTTTTGTTTGTTTTATTCTTTGATTGCTGACTCACATTAAGAGAGTGAATCTCGATGCTTAAGCTCAGTAACCTCTCATTTCACTAACCCCCCACTAGGCAGAAATTCCTTGGCCCATTCTTACATTGGGTTTTTACGAAATTGCGTGGCCCGCAGCTTTTTGACGTGGAGACCCCACTAATACCATAACCTGGTTAATAGTTTAGGTACGCAGTACAGTGCAAAATTAAGGTCAGTCGACATAGTTGCTATGATTATTATATGCATATGTATGTGTATATATGTACATAGGTTTGGGCCTGGTGCTGACCGGCTATGGTCAGCCCATTTACCATTTACCACTGACCACTTACCACTTACCACTTGCCCAGTAATAGCATTTCTTTCTTTTTTTATGGTCTCGTATAGTCTGCAAATGTCATGGTGACTGTTTTCTTCTTCTACTTCTTCTTCTTCTTCTTTTTTCTGCCTATAGCAAATTACTTTCCTTGTTGGGCTTTAAGTTAATTTTTGTGTGTCAAAAGGGAAACTTGAGTTTTTAATGCGGATTTTCCGTATTGTTGTGTATTGGGCCACATTTCCTTTTCAAATCGTAGCGCTTGCGAGCTACTAATGAGCTTTGTCGCAAAAGTCATTGGAAATGTATGGATGTGATTGCTGGTAACAGACTCTTTCAGAAAGTGGTTCGATTTGGTTTGGAACTGTGCTATTGCAAAATATTAGTTATCAACTTCCACTGTTGAAAAACACCAATGTGCTGTGCTTGTTATTAAAATTTCATTTGACATCATATCTCTGGTTCGAATCTCGTTGACAAAAAACACTCAACCAAAAGTTGTATTTCAAACTTTTTTGTTCATATCTTTATATATTATATTTTTGCGTTATTGTTATTTATTTATTTTTAGGTATTATTCAAGATTCAAGACACGTTCATGACGCACGAGGCAGCAGTTGCCATGTTCATTGTCGTTCATTTTAGTTTTTCATTAAGCAGAGCTTATTTGTT